TTTTTTTTTTTTTTGGGGGGCGGGGAGAGAGGGTTAGATAATGCAAGAACTCACAATAAGAGTAATGGTCAGTTTGTTTCGATGGAAAATGGGGTGGATGGATGGAAAAAATTTTAATTGTTTGGTATAAAAAGAAAGAGCGATGAAAATAAAAATTGGAGGGAATGCTTTTCCTTCCAGCCCACAATTTATTTTCCTTCCAAAAATGGGCAAAAAATAAGAAGAAGTCAACAAAATTTGACCTTTGGTTGATAAATTTATTTTTTTGCCCTTTGCTACCTTCTAATAAAATTCACTTCTCAAAACATATATTTAAAGGGTAGAATTGTAAAATTGGGTATGTATGGTTTCCCTTTTCTTTCATTTTCATCTAATATCAAATGATGAAAAATATATCTCTTCTATTTTTCATCCCTCCTACTAAACAAAAAAGAGGGAAAATAATTTTCTTTCTTTTATGTATAGAAAGTTTATTCCTTCCACTTTTTTATTCTTCCTACTTTTCATCCTTCGTACTAAACAGACCATAAATAAAGTGTTACTCATATCCATAACATGTTCATGTATTAATTTGCACGAGTAATTTAATAGTGTGGGTTTAAATTTGTACAAACTGTAAATTCCAGCAAAGCTTTTTAGGTTCGTTTTTTAAAAAAATTATTTAAATTCAATACACTTAAAACAAAAGTCAAATTCATAACAAGTATTATACGAACTAAATTCGAATTCTAGAAATTTGGCTCAATTATTATTCCTCCACAAGCCACCACATCCACATGTCTTGCATTTACCGTCAATGTTCACAACACTTCCGTGGGCATCATAGCTGAAATTTGACAAATTATACTTGCATCCCTGTTAACTTTAACTTTAACACCTTTAACTGTAATTAGTTCCCTTATTTGAGTTTCTGATATTGGATTGCATCATTGCCACCAGGATTACCATTACACCATTAGCACACACTTTATATAGTATAATCTGAATCATGATCCAAATTACACCCTACTGCATTATCATAACTCAGGCAAAATGGATGACCATTCTCCACCCCAAAACCACTAATTTTATACTGATGGAGAAAATTTTGGCTAAAGCTAAGCATGTGACTAACGCATGCTTGTCAGTCACGAGCAAGGCACAAGGGGGTGAGGTCTATGGTGAAGACCAAACTTTAACCCCAGGTAGTTTGCCTATATCCCCTTTTATTAGTTCAAATTAGCTCCAAGTATTTGGGGAAGTCGATTTCACATTCTTTACTATCTCATTCGAAAAGTAGTTACAAGGCTCCTACGATAACAGGGTGTGGGCTTATAATGGAGAGTAAAGAGTTACGTCCAAGGTAAATAATTCCTTTTTCAATTGAATAATTTCTTCCATATCAATATTTTTCTATCTCTATCATCTGAAGATCGATTATTGGAGTTTTTTCAGTNAAATTTTAATTGTTTGGTATAAAAAGAAAGAGCGATGAAAATAAAAATTGGAGGGAATGCTTTTCCTTCCAGCCCACAATTTATTTTCCTTCCAAAAATGGGCAAAAAATAAGAAGAAGTCAACAAAATTTGACCTTTGGTTGATAAATTTATTTTTTTGCCCTTTGCTACCTTCTAATAAAATTCACTTCTCAAAACATATATTTAAAGGGTAGAATTGTAAAATTGGGTATGTATGGTTTTCCTTTTCTTTCATTTTCATCTAATATCAAATGATGAAAAATATATCTCTTCTATTTTTCATCCCTCCTACTAAACAAAAAAGAGGGAAAATAACTTTCTTTCTTTTATGTATAGAAAGTTTATTCCTTCCACTTTTTTATTCTTCCTACTTTTCATCCTTCGTACTAAACAGATCATAAATAAAGTGTTACTCATATCCATAACATGTTCATGTATTAATTTGCACGAGTAATTTAATAGTGTGGGTTTAAATTTGTACAAACTGTAAATTCCAGCAAAGCTTTTTAGGTTCGTTTTTTAAAAAAATTATTTAAATTCAATACACTTAAAACAAAAGTCAAATTCATAACAAGTATTATACGAACTAAATTCGAATTCTAGAAATTTGGCTCAATTATTATTCCTCCACAAGCCACCACATCCACATGTCTTGCATTTACCGTCAATGTTCACAACACTTCCGTGGGCATCATAGCTGAAATTTGACAAATTATACTTGCATCCCTGTTAACTTTAACTTTAACACCTTTAACTGTAATTAGTTCCCTTATTTGAGTTTCTGATATTGGATTGCATCATTGCCACCAGGATTACCATTACACCATTAGCACACACTTTATATAGTATAATCTGAATCATGATCCAAATTACACCCTACTGCATTATCATAACTCAGGCAAAATGGATGACCATTCTCCACCCCAAAACCACTAATTTTATACTGATGGAGAAAATTTTGGCTAAAGCTAAGCATGTGACTAACGCATGCTTGTCAGTCACGAGCAAGGCACAAGGGGGTGAGGTCTATGGTGAAGACCAAACTTTAACCCCAGGTAGTTTGCCTATATCCCCTTTTATTAGTTCAAATTAGCTCCAAGTATTTGGGGAAGTCGATTTCACATTCTTTACTATCTCATTCGAAAAGTAGTTACAAGGCTCCTACGATAACAGGGTGTGGGCTTATAATGGAGAGTAAAGAGTTACGTCCAAGGTAAATAATTCCTTTTTCAATTGAATAATTTCTTCCATATCAATATTTTTCTATCTCTATCATCTGAAGATCGATTATTGGAGTTTTTTCAGTCTTCGACTTCTGTACAGGTGCTTGTCGATCATTGTTAGATTATCTTCTCTCCTTGAGCCTTTATTTGAGAATCAACATGTATAATCACAATAACCAACACACCTCAGCCTCCAACAACCCACCCCAAAGGCCACACCACAAGCGCTACTATTATTACTACATGGACATCACAAAACAAGTCCCAAATAAAGAAACATTAGAATACTTCTAAAAAAATTTATTTTTGATAATTGTAGTGTTCATCACATCTATTTTGCCTGGTGGATTGAGAGAGGGAGTATATTAAAGAAAAAGAGAAATATCATCATTTAAACTCGTCCCATTAGCTTTGGTTGTCAAGAAATTGAAGAAAATTTAAAATTTGACCAAATTTATTTCATAAAGCTGGATATAACAAGAAAAAAACAAAAGAAAAAGGGACCTGATCGGAGATGGTGTGTGCTTAGTTTGTCAGATAGAGGTCTGGATCTCAAATTCGAACCACCAATTATTAGGTGGGGGTGGGTGGTTCGAAACTCTTTAGAACCATGTCTATCAAGCACCATATTTTTTGTTCTAAATTCATCTTCGTCAAAACCAAACATCCTCTATTTTTTTGCTGCTAAACATTTGTAACTAGGTGAGGTATTTGAGTAAGGGACAAATTACTTATTGATAAATGCCAGTTGAGTTGTCTGCATTCATGCAAGGAATCAAACCATATAGATATTGTTTACAATTATCAGAAACTTCGGGGGATGTTTTTGTAATATGCACCCAGCTTAGAAAAGCCGCCGGTACCATCGGCGAGCCAATTGAATGTTAATGTTAAGACCATTTGACTCACCAACGATCATTATTTATTGTGTGCGTCAGTGCCGTGCGTGTCTTCTCTCTCTCTTGCTCGTCATGTATTCATCGCACTTTACCGAAACCCTAGAAATTCATCTTCGAAGATCTCTGAACTGTTGCTAATTAACGGATACCTAATATCTGCTCGCCAGAATCTCCATATTTTCGAAGTCCAACCAAGTCATTTTCTTCGTAAAGGTTCCAATAACCCTAGCTAGATCTATTGACAATTGAGATTTCATCTCGATTACTCCAAACCACATCGGATTTTAGAATTGATTTGGTTTCAATAAATTCTCGGGAAAGTTTTAGTGCCATATCATTCGTAATCGTTGTGTATGGTGGGCATGGGAAGGGTTTACAGAGAAACCTCCAAGCCCTCATCATCATCACCGTCAACGCCTTCGGTCACGACATCGACTTCGATCTCCGAAACAGTGACTGGTTCGCATGAGTTCAGGATCAATGGGTACTCGCTTTCAAAAGGGATTGGGATTGGGAAGTACATGGCGTCCGATGTGTTCGTGGTCGGTGGGTATGCGTGGGCGATCTACTTCTATCCGGACGGGAAAAGTATAGAGGACAATGCCACGTATGTTTCTGTGTTCATTGCGCTTGCCAGTGAGGGTACGGATGTTAGGGCGCTTTTCGAATTGACGCTTGTGGATCAGAGTGGGAAAGGGAGGCATAAGGTTCATACCCATTTTGGGAGAGCGTTGGAGAGTGGGCCTTACACACTTAAATACCGAGGAAGCATGTGGTAACTTTGTTGATTTTATGAAGTTTGCAGTTATTATCCCATTTCGTGTTAGGTGGTCTTTTTTAGGCATCTTGTAATGATTCTTGTTATCGATATCTTTTTTAATGGCGTGATATTTTCTTGTGATGTTTGTTTCACGGTTAATCAGGCGAGCCTTGCTTTTAAATGTTCTTGCCTTGGAGCCCTATCCACTGGAATCGTGATTCTGTTCCGGGGCTAAATTTATTTGATTTTCTTGGAGCTCACCTAGTTTACCTTTACTTTCTGTTTAATTGTTTTTTTCATAGGTGTACCAGTTTATACCAGACTCCGGCAGTTTTCTGGTACTGACGACCTCATTTAAAATAAATTGGTTACATTGTTGAATGTAACTTGATTTTAACAAGAAGCGAATTTGTGGCTGGTACTTATTTTTTCAAATGTAGCTTTTTGAGTGTGTGACTAGTAAATTATTAATTGAATTTTTAAAAAATTCCTTACCATTGCTAGTCGCTAGAATATATCTGATTGGGACAACTATTCTATACCATGGACATAGGTTATTGAGTTTTTACCCTTTTTGAAGGTCTTCTTTAAATTGACCTCAAGTGTTTTGCCTAACTTGTTTGAAGAATATAAGAGTCTGATTTTACAAGTTCTGTAATGACTGGATACGTTCTTCATTATATTGCTAGTTGACTAAATTTATGGTATGGTGTTCTATGAGGAAAGAAGCATTCTCTAGTGTTCATGTGGAAACATGAAACCTTCTTGAGACACTATTGAGATATATGGGAATATTGTATGCATGTTTTTTGATTAGTGACAAGGATACACTATTCAAGGGTGGATGATTGATATAATATGATATAATGGGTTCCATTGTTGTATGCTGCAGGGGTTATAAGCGGTTTTTCAAAAGAACTGCTTTAGAGACATCAGACTACCTGAAAGATGATTGCCTTGTTGTTAATTGTAGTGTTGGTGTAGTTAGGTCCCACACAGAGGGCCCTAAGATATATAGTATACCAGTACCACCATCCGACATTGGTCAGCATTTTGGACAGCTGCTGGAAAGTGGAGAGGGCACTGATGTAAGTTTTGAAGTTAATGGGGAAATATTTGCTGCTCACAAGTTGGTACTTGCGGCTCGCTCACCTGTGTTCAGGGCTCAACTTTTTGGTCCAATGAAGGATCAAAATACACAATTTATAAGCGTAGAGGACATGGAGGCTCCTGTATTTAAGGTTTAGTGCATTTCCTTCTTCTTCATGGTTTTCTACACTTGTCTCTGTCATTATATGTTCTTGAACGTCATTTTTATAGTTATACCTGTTGCCTGCTAGTGCAACCTATTATCCCTGAAAGATAATGACCCAGCCTGGATACTATTGGTAATTTTGTTATAGAAGTGACTTGTTTTGCATGCTCTATTGCTTCAGCAGTATGATNTTGTTATACCTGTTGCCTGCTAGTGCAACCTATTATCCCTGAAAGATAATGACCCAGCCTGGATACTATTGTTAATTTTGTTATAGAAGTGACTTGTTTTGCATGCTCTATTGCTTCAGCAGTATGATTTTTGAATATATAACATTTAATGTTGCCAAAATTTAGCAAATGTGTTTTGCACGTGTTGGTTTTGACAATATTGCTGAGTTTGGAGAATTTTGACAGAAGCGCCTTACTCACATCAATTATTTTGTCATGTTCATTCAGCTTAAGCATGATTAGCCCATAATTGTTTTGCTAATATAGTGAATTTTCAGTACATGCTTTTCTTTCTAAAAGAACTTGTAAGACTTCTGGTTGAATATTCTCTACCATGATGGCAACACGAAATTGAGGTTCTTCTGGCTTCTTTTTGGTAGAGCCGGGTTGTGAGCCTCTTGGCAATGACAGGAAGGGGTCTGTCTGTGTGTTGGACTCCAGGGGCTGGTCAGTTGCTAGGCTGCATTCTTAGTTATCATAGGCAGAAAGGCCGGTAGGATTTTAACTAGATTGTAGGAAAGTATTAGAACCAAGTACAGTGCAGGTAATAATAGTGGCGTGACAAGAGACAGAAAAAAGTTCTGGGTTTCTGCTGATTTGCTTGTGTTTTTGGATCATTTCAAAATTGATTCTATGATTCTTGGGAAAGCAACTATGTTATTGGTGGACAGCAAGCAATTTGCTCACTTGGATTAATGAAAGCTGTCATAAACATACTGCCTCCTTTTATGTGAATCATGTGACGGCTCCTGCTTTCGTAACATTGGAAACTTCTTAATATATAGAATTAATAAAGAGGGAGGGTGGATTTGGTCTGCACCTGGCAAAAATGTCTATAAAACCCTTTATTTTATTGTTTCCATTTTAATCATACATAGCTTTTTTTAATTGCATTATCAACTGCACTTAACCACATGTATCTCCTAATAACTGACTAAATTTATCTACTCCAACATCTTCCTATTCCTTCTTTTTTTACTTCCTATTTGCACACGTGTACCACGTGTGCACTAGGCCCATTGTTAATTCTTTAAGCGCAAATGTTATGTTAGCTATGAAAGTTTGAGTAAGGAAAATTAAAGAGGGGGCGCAACTGGATATGTAGGGTATGTTGCCGCTGCTTTAGATGTTTTTGTTGTAGTTTCAAGAGCTTGGCTCAGCTGATTGTACAAACCTGCACCAACTTTGAGCATTTGTTGATTTCATCTGTAGTCTGGAATATGTGTGGTGGAATGGAGCAATGTTAGCTTTCTAGTTAAAGGTGGACTTGTTGTGCAAAGGTCTATGTTTGTTTTGGACCAAAATTAGGATTAATCACATGCACAGATGAGGTGTATTTCTTCAGATGAAAATAATTTTTTATTTTTTCAGAAGAATCCTTGAATGTCCTCAGGTACTGTTAACTTTATCCTCGGCTGCCTTTTAACTTGGGATCGACCGTGGTTATTGACGGGCTAGGTTTCTGCAGTTACCTCTTTTGGAAATTTTAATAATGGATGTAGAACATCATGTGAAATATTAACTGACTACATTGTATGCCATTCTGAGAAGTGAAATAAGAAATACCNCTGGCTAGGTTTCTGCAGTTACCTCTTTTGGAAATTTTAATAATGGACGTAGAACATCATATGAAATATTAACTGACTACATTGTATGCCATTCTGAGAAGTGAAATAAGAAATACCATATTTTTGATAGACCATTATAAATACAAATACCACAACCATGACATTTTTGTATTTATCATTCTTATTATCTGCCTCTTCCAGGAGTTTTGTGTGGCAATTATATTTGCCTACATTAGAGATTAGGCTCAATAGTGTATAACAAAATGTGTCCAAATGAACTTCATCATGTTGGCATGCATCTTGCTCTGTCGCGGTGTGTCTTACCATGTGGGCAATTTTTTAGGTGTATTTCTGATAACTATCGTCTTCCATTAGATGTGCATGCTCAATTACATGCAGGTGCCACACTATCTTTTTTATTTGCCTATGTTCTATTCTATTCATGTGGATTGCTATGATGTAGGACACCGTATTTTGTCCATCAAGTTAATCTGTGGCTTTGGTAAAGTTTGTTTTGAATTTAATTTTAAAGTAATGATGTTGATTTGCTTCTTAGCTTAAAGTTGACTAGTGTGCTGCATTGCTTTTTTTCCCCCCATATCTTGGTGCAGGCTTTACTTCATTTTATATATTGGGATTCACTGCCTGACATGGAAGAGCTTACTGGTATGAACTCCAAGTGGGCATCTACTTTGATGTCTCAGCACCTGCTTGCAGCTGCTGATCGCTATGGTTTAGATAGGCTCAGGTTGCTCTGTGAGGGTAATCTATGTGAGGATGTTGCTATAAACACTGTTGCAACGACATTGGCCCTAGCTGAGCAGCATCACTGTTTTCAACTGAAATCAGTTTGTCTTGATTTCGTTGCAAATCCTGAAAATCTCCGAGGTGATTTTTATTTTGCCCAGTTTTAACCTTTTATATTTCATGATTTTTTTTACCAAGTATTTGATGCTTGACAAGGAATAATTTGTTTATCTTAAGAATCTGCTTTGAGGAGTTTTCTGGAAGCGTCCTTTCTTCAATTCCTAGTTTCTCTTTTGATTTTCTTCCAAAACAAAAATAATAATAATAGTAGTAGTAATAGTTGTAGTTGTAATTCACTTGGTAACTGGAAGAAACCAAATCAGTTACTAGGAGTGATTGATGACCGACTTCTTGGGGACGCGGGTCCTCATCTGAAATTGTTTGGGGGCGGGCTGCATGATTCATAATTTATTATGTGTCCTCATGTGGGTTTGTGAATTTGTTGTCTAGGGGTGACATAAGTGCAGGGTAACATGGCTGATTTTGCCTACTCATATGATCTACATTCTTCGTGGTTTAGCTCCCTTAATTGGGATGCTTGAAAATTCTTACTCCGTTTGTTTAGAGCCTCAGATATTTTTTTAGAAAAATTTTCTGCATGCATGTTTTCTGCTAATACAATTCATCATCAGGAAGAAAATAAAAGTTGAAGTTGTTTCCAGAAGGAGCATGCAATTAACAACGTTGGTTAGATGGAAATTTGGTAGTTGATGGCCAAAATCGAATAGGAGATGAACTATTTTTTTATTTTTGCTTTTAAAATGTCTCAAAAAATTGTGTGAATAATCAGCTGATGCTTGTTCAATTTCTTCTTTTCCCAGCTGTAATGCAGACGGATGGTTTTGGATACTTGAAAGAAAGTTGCCCTTCTGTTTTGACTGAACTCTTGGAGTATGTGGCTAGGATGAATGAGCACTCGGTCATTACCACCAAGCATGGGAATGAAGCATTTCTGGATGGCAGTGATGTTAACGGTAGACGGGTGAAGCAAAGGATTTAATAAACATTGCTTGTCACATTCGCTTTGCAGTCTTAACAAGAAAAAAAAAGCTGAAAGCTTTTCTAGGTTTAGGATCTTTTTGGGTCGTTCGCTTTTTCTAATCCGATGGGGTTGTAAATTTAGTGGTTCTCAATTGGTGTCTGTACTTTTCCTGTAATTTTTAGTTTGCTTGTTCTTCTCTTTGACTTCGTAGTAGATGTGTGGTTGATCAGATTTGTGGACTTAGATACAAATTGTTGACCAACTAACCTTAACAATGGTACATGTTGCTGCTGTTTGTTGTCATATTGCATTTGAGGTAATGAACGATGGTCTTTCTATCTGCCTGTGAGTTGTAACACTGTTTGCTGGTCTCTGAAGCAGTAGCTCAATCACTAAGTTGCTAGATTGTCGACCATTACGAACACAGTAACTTAAACTACTGGCCCTCTCCGCCATGGCCATTGGCCAAGATGTAATAAGAAAGGGGCAGGTTTCGGTCTTGAAGTNAATCACTAAGTTGCTAGATTGTCGACCATTACGAACACAGTAACTTAAACTACTGGCCCTCTTCGCCATCGCCATGGCCATTGGCCAAGATGTAATAAGAAAGGGGCAGGTTTCGGTCTTGAAGTACGTCTTTTTCAATGGAATGCTGTTTTGCTAAGAAAAGCCAGTAAGTGGTGATGGCGTATCTTATGCAGTCGATTCTATCAGGTTCATTCTTTGGTAGTGCATAGGCTTCAACTTCTTCCTCTAGTTGAGATACTGCTTCGGTCTGTATAATTCATGGCAGTTTTTTAATATATTGTGAAGCTATTCTATTTCTTGGATTTTCTTATATTATAATGGAGAGCGGTAATTTTATTGTTAGCTTTAAGGAAGTGATAGTTGTTTCAGTACACAAACAAGGTAGGTTGGGATTTAGGAGGTAGTTTGCTTGTTGCTTGAACAGAGAAAGGGCTTGATATTTCACTCTTACATCAAAAGTCTGTTGACTGAGGTGAGCTGGGATAGCAGCAGCCAAAATGGCTGGGGCGGAGAAATGAGAAGAAAATGAAGCAACAGTTACAGATGAATCAATACCGTGCCGGCAATAGGAGTTTGAGTTCCTCGAGAAACAAATAACAAACGCATGCTATGGTTAACCCTTAACCATACAACATAGATAGATGCAAAGACGAGTAGAGAGGGGACGGATTACCCCACTCTTGATTTAAGTTAGCAGGCAGAGTATCATCAAATATTAATGTGATACTACATTGTTGTATATTCATGATTTAAAAGGATTGATAGTAATTTTATAACCCTCAAGAATGTCGTATATTATTTTTATTAAATTTTGAGAGAAATCGGTTGCTCTTATTGGTTAAGTCTATTTTATTTTTTGTCTTTTCTCTCGAATTATATAACAATTGGTCGTTATTAGAGTTTATAAATCTTTAACGTTTCAATTTATTTTTTTATTACAAAACCGACAAAATTTGATATTGTATCAAAAGTCATAAATTTTTAAGATTAAATTACACATTTTAAATATAAAATTACAATTGGTAGAGGTAATTCGTGATTAATTAAGTTTTTTCATGAAAATTTTTTTTTAAAAAATTTTAATGAAATAATTAAAATAAAATTCTAAAAAAATCCGAAATAATAGAAATAAATGAGTAAAACATCATAAAAAAATTGAAGGGGGATAGAAAAATTTAAAAGAGCAAACACTCTCCTTCGCCGAAGCAAATGAAACGTCGATTTGGCAGACCCACCACCAGCCTGCATGCAACTTAAAAGACATATATCATTAAAGGGTATCAAAGATTTGTTATTGTTTCAAATTTTCGAGACTTAAAAAAGTCACAATTCCTCTAAGAAATTGGTCCTCAAAGAATTCTTCAACATAACAAATTAGTTAGTAGATTGATATCTATTTTGTTAACGGAATTAACCAAATAAATTATTGCACCAACTAAAGAACGATCATACACCATCAACTCGTAATTTGACTCTAAAAAAATTATAAAATATAAATTGAACTAAAATTAAAACGGCACACCATCATATGTTAGGGTCAGTTTTGGTAAATACCTTAAGTCGTTAAGAGAATGTATATTTCAACGCTCTTCGTAATACTTACAAGTCCTTTACATCCAACTATCCAGGTAACCCTAAGCTTCGACCTCGACTGCGAATCACAGAGAGGACACGGAAGAAAGAGGCAGACATTTCCAGGAAGAAAAAAAAATGGTAATCGTCTTTCCCATCTGAACCTTTCTTCCGCTATTTCCCTAGAAATTTTGATCTGTGAAATCCTCATATTTATCTAACTTTCGTTGTGTTTTCTTCCAACTTTTCGTCGATTCCTTCAATTTAGTTACTGGGTTATCGAAAATATTTCACTTTATTCTGTATAATTATCTGGGTTTGTTTTATTTGCAGTTGTTCTTCTCGTATTTCAAAGATTTGGTGGGAAGAGAAGTGACTGTGGAGCTAAAGAACGATTTGGCCATTCGAGGCACCTTGCATTCAGTTGATCAGTACCTCAACATCAAGCTCGAGAACACCAGGGTTGTCGATCAAGACAAGTACCCTCATATGGTACTTCTTAATACCTCTCAAACTTCTTTAGGGTTTTTCCATTTTTTTGTTTGTTTTCGGATACTGCATCATAAAGATTTTTTGTCTATGATTCGTTCATTGTTTTCATTGTAAAGCTGTGTTGAATAGTTTAATTCTTTTATGCAATTTGAAGGGTTAGACTATAGGTGATTGTGATGTAGAAAACTAGGGTTTTATTTTATGTTTAATTTTTTATTATTTTTTTTGTAGTTACTGGCATAATAGGAGTTTAGAGGTACTGGATATCAAGATATGCAATGCTAAATGTAGGGTTTAGTTCAAGGTTCACAGATTTTTGCATCCCGAAATTATATGCTTATAGCACGAGGTGCATGGACCACTGGGTGCTATTAGTACATGGGGATTGAGGGTACAAAATTGTAATGAAACTTCGTGAGGACTGATTCTGTTGCAAAATGATGTTCACATCTTTGATTCATTGTTCGCCATTTGCTTGTAAAAACTGACATCAAGGTGTACCCATACTTGTGGTCTCGAGGGGAATCTAAGCTATTTTTGAAGCAACAGAGTTCGATAGCCCCTCCTTCCCCAATCCAACAAAAACAACACAGCAGGAGAAAAAGGAAAANGACTATCTTGTGGTCTCGAGGGGAATCTAAGCTATTTTTGAAGCAACAGAGTTCGATAGCCCCTCCTTCCCCAATCCAACAAAAACAACACAGCAGGAGAAAAAGGAAAAAAACAGAGAACCCCCTCTCCCACCTAACACCCGTCCAAAAAAGACATAAATTCTTCAAGAAGCACAAAACTGTCGTGCGACTACTTTCGGGTCATTGGAGTTTAANACAGAGAACCCCCTCTCCCACCTACCAACCCCGTCCAAAAAAGACATAAATTCTTCAAGAAGCACAAAACTGTCGTGCGACTACTTTCGGGTCATTGGAGTTTAAGCTTTAAACGTAGGGGCTAATGTACAAATGATGAATGTCTTTGATTTCTGTGTTTTATTGCAAAGGCTTGAGAATTGTGGGGATTTTTTTTTTCTCTTCTCAATACTAGACAATCAAATTTCATTTTCGGCTGAAATTGGGCTATTAACCNGGCTAAGAGACCTAAATTTTTTTAAAAAAATTTATAGTACCACTGTTAACGGGTTAAACTGGTTAAAACGAGTTTATAGGTTAAACACGAAATCGATTCGTTTATTTCATGGGTCTGCTGAGTGAACCCATTAATCNCTCCAATTTATTAGGTCAAGGAAATATGAACAAGAGTTTCTTCATCATGTCACTACGTTGTTCACAATAATTTTCCTTGAAAATGGAAGGCATTATTGATTTTGGAAATATTGTGGTTGATTGTTTCTCCCGCTTATTGCGCACGATNTTCGTGTTGCTTTCGTGTCGATTTCACGAATCGTGTCTAAAATTGTCAGGTGTAATCAAAACTTCAACAACACTGTACGTCGTAGAAGTTAAAGGAGAATGAAACAAGTTGATTATTATAATTACATGTATTGAACCNCTTATTGCGCACGATTTTTTATGGTGATTTTGAATATGTGCATGTAGATGACATACCGATGATAAGAATTTTTCAAAAAAAAGTCCTTAAATGTATGTAAATAGCCCATTGTCTGTCTTTTTTATTATCATCTCTCTCTCTCTCTGATCTTGATTTTCTGCATTTTCTTTCTTTTGATAGAAGTATGTTGGGGTGGTGCGTATATTAATTCTTGGCCCATTGCAGCTGTCAGTGAGGAACTGTTTCATCAGAGGATCAGTGGTGAGATATGTTCAGTTGCCACCAGATGGAGTTGACATTGAACTGCTTCATGACGCCACAAGAAGGGAAGCTCGGGGTGGCTAGAAATTGTACTACAAGTCTTGAAACCATGTATTTTATGAACATCTCAACTCAATAGTTTCGGATGTAGCTGTTTCTTCTAAATGGACCATGCCAAAAAAATTTGACTTCAAGTATTCCTGAATGGTGCACTACTAGGATAGATTTTCACTCGAAACTACAAAGAAACTCAAGGTTTTAGTGTATTTAGCTTGCAAAATGCAAATTGGGATGTACTCATTCCCAGGAAAAGAGGTCAAATATGAGACAGAGATACAATGGGTTTTTTAAGGGTTGCTTTAAAACCTTAATTTTTTTTGGGTTTCAATGGAAAATAAGCATGATCGATTTGGTCTCTGGCTTATTGAGTAGTTTTTTTATCAACTTTTTGGGCAAAATAGTGTTTATCAGTATCGAGGAAAAGCAAAAAATAAGGGTTATCTAAGTGCTTTCAAGGACAAATTAATTTTTTTGAAAACACTCTAAACGGTTCTAAACAATTTTTGTATAGACAATTTGATGATGACCTAATGTTGAATTAGCAATGAAACTAAAACTTAAATAAAAAACATACTTATACAACACGAGAAAGGAAATTGTAAGACCATAACTAATTATGGTCTTAATGATGAAAACAATATTATTGATATCTAATATCCAGAAAAATATAAGGAAAGTTTTGGATATAAATCTTTATTATAAAGGACAATCTACAACAATATACTTTGCATCTATCAAAGTTAGGCCTAGCAAATGTGTCGAGTAGAATGATTTCGTGTCGGGTAAAACAGGTTTGTGTCAAAAAACTCTCTATCCATACCCCATTTGTTTATATAAACGAGTTCAACTATTACATTCATACACGAATTATTTGTTAGAAGGGTTATCTGATACAACCCGTATGTCACCCGCTAAATAAGAGAATAAATTAGAGTATTTCAAGTCCACACGAAAAATTATCAACTCACCACACACTACACATATTTAACATGTTTACTATAACAATGAATTATAGCTGAGGAAAAAAATAAAGACAAAAAATAAATAGTAAATGACTATTAAATTTGAACGAGTCTAAGAGATGAGGCAGAGGCTAAGAGACCTAAATTTTTTTAAAAAAATTTATAGTACCACTGTTAACGGGTTAAACTGGTTAAAACGAGTTTATAGGTTAAACACGAAATCGATTCGTTTATTTCATGGGTCTGCTGAGTGAACCCATTAATCACTCAAATTCGTTAAGATTATACTCAAATTCGCTAAATTCGTGTTGCTTTCGTGTCGATTTCACGAATCGTGTCTAAAATTGTCAGGTGTAATCAAAACTTCAACAACACTGTACGTCGTAGAAGTTAAAGGAGAATGAAACAAGTTGATTATTATAATTACATGTATTGAACCTACAAAAGATGGGATGTGAACACCCCAACCCTTAATAAATGGTAGAGGTGTAATTTGGGCAGGTTGGACAATCAACCTTAATTCAATCCTAGGTATATAATCTTCAACTCTAACGTTAACCATAATCCTATCTCAGGTTGGAGAACTCAACCCGAGCACTACCTGAGTTTAATTCGGGCGGGCTCGGGTTGATGATTTCAGATTGATTTCGGGTTACTTTACGTGTTTAATTCGGGTTCAATTCAGGTAGAGTCCAAAATAGATTTGTTGTTCTAAATCTAATACATATATTACATAATATTCACCTAAATTAACAATCAATAACTTCAATAAAATTTTTAACAAGAGAGGCAGAGAGAACGAGAGAGACAAAGAACAAGAAAAATAGAGAACGATAGAACAAAAATGAAAAATTAGTGTTAATACTTTATATATATATAATTTTTTTTTAATTTGTCAGATTCAGGTTGAATTCGAGTTCACGAGGCGTTAACATGAGCTCAATTCAAATTAAATTCGGGTTGAATTCGAGTTAAAATCGGGTCGTCCAACCTAAGTTGCACCCCAATAAAGGGTCTGTGACTTATCTGTGTTTCATAAGAGTAAATGTAATATGACGTCATGTGAAGAAGTCCAATTAATAGCACTTTAATTTTCTTGATTCTCGTCCCAAGTCTTCTCAGCCTCTTTTACAAGGGATTGATTCAGAGTATGGCATGAATTGATGTCAATGGCGGCCTAACGGAGTTGGACGCTCGAAATTTTAAATGAGGCTTCTATTAATATTTAGGATAATCATATGAAATATAATGTATAATTATTAGATATTTTATAAATAGTTATTGGTGCGATTTAGTTCCAACTTATTATTGATTTTAAAATCAGACGAGATCATACGATTAACTAAATGCAAATGGTAATAATCTTGATTCAGAATGATAATCATATTTATAAATCCATGAATTACCATGTTTAGATAGTTAATGAATCAATAATCTACATCGGGAATAAGATCACTATTGGAATCAAATTTCCAATGATGGTGAGAATTTTAAACCCATCATCAATGGTAATAATCTCATACTAAACTTAATTGGGCATTCTAAAAAAGAAAAAAAAATCAAAATCAAACTCGTTCCTAAAATTTAGTTCATTCCTAAAGTCATCTCTCTTTCTAAAATCATGTTCCTTCCTAAAATAAAGTCCGTTACTAAAAACTATAATGAAATAAATATTCATTCTCATACTACATTATTAAACATACCAAATACTAAATAATGTATTACTACAATATTTAAAATCCATGTATCCCTTTACTAGAACTAGGAATGAGAGATGTTCATTCCTAATTAGGATTACTGTAATCCAAACAATCAGATCCCCACATTTATTTGTCTCCCTTATCTTTTATTTGACTGCACTTCTCAGAATTTCTGAAGTAGCTCATAGTTCTGCCAAGAACAGCTCGACATGTATAGAGTTCCTAGGCAAAAATGTTAAACGAGGTCCAATCATATTCAATGTACTAATATACAAATATTAAATCACGACTAAATATTATAATATATTTATTTTAAAATAATATCAAATTAGATGGAGCAAGAGGTGGAGGTTATGAATTAGATAAAATTCCTATTAAGTTGAATTTAAAAGTTATGCACTCTTAGTGGTATGCCTAACTAACATAACCATGAAAAATTGCATTATTTTGAAATGTAAAAATACCAACTTAATCAGCCACCTCAGTGGTCTATGCCTAGGAACGACGTGTAACAATGACAAGAGCAATAGCCCACTAAAATGCTTGGTGTATTCTAACATTCAAATTCTTTTTCTAACACTTACCAAAAAATATGTGTAGTACTGGTACATGTCGTCAACTTTCTATATTTTGGGGGTGATTGCAAAATTTATGGACTGTTTTATAGGAAATCTAAATCTCTTTTNATTTCTTTTTCTAACACTTACCAAAAAATATGTGTAGTACTGGTACATGTCGTCAACTTTCTATACTTTGGGGGTGATTGCAAAATTTATGGACTGTTTTATAGGAAATCTAAATCTCTTTTGACTAATAAAAATAACCCTAGATTGTTTCAACACTTACAATGATGCAGCTGGATCATGTGCGCTTACTCCTTTCAATCTTTCTTAAAGTTTTTCCACCTTCAAAACACTTCCCTCTCTCTCTCTCTCCCCCCTAAGAAATTACTAATACCATTGACTCTCTTTGCTTTCTCTATAAAAGATTTGAAGAACAGAGGATCAATTCATTACTACTTTGATTAGTATCAAGTAAATTTCTATGGATGATCATGCTTTAGATCCAGTAAGTATCAGTTTTCATTGTGTTCATATAGGTTTAACAATATTAAACTGTCTCCACGTATCTCATTTTTTTTTCTTGGGTCACTATTTCAAACGGTTACTTGGGAAAAGATGGTGAGGTTTGAATCCGCGACTTTGGTCCAACGGTGGGGTGCAGTGGCCATTAGGTCAATCGCTGATCCTCCCACATATCTCATTGACCGACCTCTTTTTTAATATCATTTTGGATTGAATTTCTTGCAGACTTGTGTTTTGAAAGTGAAGATCAATTGTTGTAAGGTATGCCCTGGAAAATTGAAGAAGGGGTTATTGAAAATCAATGGTACTCTTTTCTAGCTTGATTGTTTTTAAATTTCCTCTCATTAATTCCATTATTTTTTTTAAGCATTTGTTCATGTCAGTTATTCTTGTGCTAGGGGTTTATTCGGTTTCGGTAGACACAGAAAAGAATTTGGTCTCTGTTAAAGGCAAGGTAGACCCTAGGATGCTCATTAAGACGATAGCTAANTAAGCATTTGTTCATGTCAGTTATTCTTGTGCTAGGGGTTTATTCGGTTTCGGTAGACACAGAAAAGAACTTGGTCTCTGTTAAAGGCAAGGTAGACCCTAGGATGCTCATTAAGACGATAGCTAAAATGGGAAAAAATGCAGAACTTGAGTCCTACAACAAGGAGCCCATGAATGACAATAACAATGGCGAGGGACATTTCGAGAACACACAAACTGGCCCAGACAAATGTTCAGATAAAGAAAAATGTGCTGCCAATGACAACGATAATGTTCGTCATAGGAGAACAGACCTAGATCAAGGTTGTTGTGTTCATGAGGATGCTTTTGTTGGTCATAAGGTTGAAGATTATGTGCCACCCCCAAGAGATAGAGAGTTTGATGATCATATATGCAGGGATCCTTATTGCAGACTCCATAGTAGAAGTCATATCATTCGTGACCGGGTGCCTCCAAGGGACACTGCAGGGATGTTTTGGCATCACTCACACAATAACAGCCATGGCTATGGTGGTCGGTATCCCCAGAGAAGCCCATGTTACCCGGGATGGTTTAGGGAGGAACTGCATTCATATGGTCATTATAATACAAGGATGCCACCACCTGCATATGGTTATCATCAGCCAAGGCCTATGCCGGGGCCTGACAACTTCTCCCATTTCTTCAGTGATGAGAACACTAGAGGCTGCACTATAATGTGAGCTGTAGGAGCATGTATTGCTTCAATTTGGATTCATCTGTGAAGGACTAGATACGTTGGCGCATATTTTATGTTTATTTTTTCTAATTGTTTGCGCATGTTTTTAAATATTTTCTAGTTTTCTTGTATGCTGAAATGTTACTGCTTTATCATGTTTAGAATCATTAGATTTCTCAGTGGTGTGATGCATATTTTGAACTAGAAAATGTTTGAGAACATGTTTCTGCTGTGCTGCTTAGCTTGTATGATTGCAAATGATTGTTGTGCTTTACTTATCAAATCCTAGACCAGTAGGTTTTGTTATTTTATTTGTATTGACAGGAATGCTAAGATTATAACTCATCTAAATCAGCATGAATGCGATAACTCTGCGTAGACTAAAAACACCTGAATTTATTGAATTTGCCTACCGAACAGTTTTTCAAATTCATGGATCTTAATGTATGTGATTTCAAATCCCTTGATTTTCAATCTCTCAGGCACTATGAAATTTATTATCTAAATGCAATCTTAATGTTACATTCTACATAGCTTTTCATATTTGATGCAGGCCATTAAAGAAACCAACCACTAGCATACTAAGGAAACCTAAGCTTCAATATCGATCAGTCCTTGTTTCAAACTCTCTGGATCTGGATATTGGAGTTTAAGTTAACAATTACACGAAAATAAACTAAAGACATTATACAATAGTTACTAGGAAACTAAAACAGATAGGAAGCCCGGGCAAAAAGACCTTAGGCAGCCAGCTAGCACCACAGAGAATGCTCCAACCTAAGACCAGACCTCACTCTATGATCTCACTTGGCTCCTTCTTTGAGAATGCTACCTCGCTCTCAATCAAAACATCGTTTGTATGATCATGTCCTTACCTTATTGAGATTCTATCCAGCAAGAGGAACAAGTTCCTTCTATATTTTTGTCTTAATTCTTGTTCTGAAAATAAACTAGGGATGTACAAGTTCCAAGGTTTTACACCACCTTTTAAAGGATAAAATTGAGTTGGTGACATGAGTATGTAAAATCACCAACAATATTTTCTTCCCCCATTTGGGTAGTGGTATTTATTTTCTGATTTTTTTTTTAAAAAAGAAATATTATTACCTTTCGGGCCTTTTAGCTCTTCACATCAAAAATGGATTTCACATTGTTTGCCTAAAGAAGAATGAAAACCTAAGGTATTGAATCAAGAAAAATGATAACTTAGCTATATCAATTATATCAATTAGGCTTGTCAATCAGGTTGAATGAGACGAGTTTGTGTTAAAAAAATATTTTTCTTATACTATTAATTTGTGTTTAACAAATTGTGTCATGTCATGTATGAATTATATATAATCGATATATATACGAATCGTGTCGTATATTTCTTTTGATTGATTTTAAGATAAATCACAAATTATATTTCGAAAGATTTCTCGAATCCCAATTTGTACCCTCAAATATATAATTTTGTATTAATGTGCACTTGAAGATAATAACTATTTAGTTTGCGGTCTAAAACTAAATGAATAAATTACATCTAGACTCCCTCATGTTTGTCACTTAATCACCTGAACCCCTTATATTTGAAATATTATATATACCCCTGAGAATCAAAATATGACTAAAAGTTTTTCCCTAATTGGGCATCCAAATAATTTTGTTCAAATAATGTATTACGTTGGATATAAAGAACATTATATAATACCAATACTCTTGAATATTATATAATATATATATATATTATATTGGGTATTCAAAGGGTAAGCTTGATTTTGAACTTTAGAGTATAACGGGCCCATAAAATAAAAAGAAATATAGAAATTATAGTTGTTTATTAGGACGACATCATGTTTTTTAACGGTGACATTAACGGATATTGACAACAGAGGATTATATGTCACACGCGCACAAATGTCAAGGGGTATAGGTGTAATATTTTAAATATGAAAGAGTCAAGTGATTTAGTCACAAACTTGAGAGGGTCTAAGTATAATTTATCTATTTAGTTTCAGACGACAAACTCACGACTGTTAACTTTAGATGCACATTGATATAGATTTATGTCTTTAAGAATATAAATTGAGATTTTTTTTATTTTTGAGGGTATAAATTAATGTTTAAGAGATCTTTTGGAATACAATTTATAATCAACTCTTGATTTTATCCATACTTAATTTATTTATATAATTGATTCATTTATTAATCAAGTTGTATCGAATTTTTACGAAACAAATGACTTAAGAAAGCCCTCGTGTCATACCCTCAATTACCCATATAAAAAAACAAGCCAACACGGAGAAGAGATGAAATATATAAATTAACATTTTTCTGCATAGATTTCTCGTAAGGGTATGAGAAATTCATTATTTTTTAGTAGAAAACAGCATCAAACCTTAAGGGTCCGTTTGGTTAGAAAGAAAAAAATAATGGGAAGTGAAAATGATAGAAAGGAAAGTGAAAGAAAAAAAAATGATAAAAAAATGTATTTTCATCCATGTATTTAGTTAAAATAAAAAATTTATGGGAAAATTTTAAAAAAAATTATTCTATTATTTGAAAGAAAGGAAAGTTAATTTTTTTTTTTATAATTGTTTAAATTATCCTTAATTATATTAAATTGGTCTAAAAAAATATGTAATTATAATTGAAAGTTAAAAAAATTTTAAAAAGTGGCTCAAAACCTAATTATAAAAAAATCACTAACACAACGGTGCTTGGACTAAATTATATGATGAATTAAATTCATACCAATTTTTTTTTAAATTAATAACTAATTAAATATTTTAAGAAAAATAAGGGTAAAATGAGAAGTTAATTATAGATCACAACTTTCTTATATTTTCATATATTTTTTACAAAAAAAAAAAAAAAAATTGTTATTTGTGAAAAAATTCAAGCACGAAAAAAATTATTTTTTCAATTATATTCATTTTCATGTTGACCAAACACATAAAAATTTTAAAAAAAAAAAAATTCTTGCATTTTCTGCCATCGTTTAGTAAGAGAATGATAAAAAATGCAAGAAAGACAAACTTTTTAAAATTTCTTGAATTTTCTCACAAATAATTAACTGAGATTTTTTTGTAAAAAAACACAAAAAAATACAAGAAAATTGTAATTTATAACTAACTTTCTATTTTATCCTTATTTTTTTAAAAATATTTTATTAGTTATTATTTTTAAAAAATTTTAATATAAATTTGATAAATTATATAATTTAGCCCACAAATCTTTTGTGTTGGTGATTGCCTTAAAATTAGGTTTCAAACATTTTTTAAAATTTTTTTAAATTTCAATTATAATTACATATTTTTCTTAGATCCATCATTTTTTTTTTCTTTCTAACCCGCCGAAGGAATTTGAGCAAGAAAATTGAAAAATTTAGCAATACCCATTAACAAGAAACAGGCCAAAAGTGAGAGGAGAAGAAAGATATGAAGGTGGCAATCACCGAAAACGTCCGAAAAAAGAAGGATGAAAACTTCGAATCGGGAGTGCCATTGACGCAGGTCCGTTGGCCCTGATCAGTAGCTTGAGTTCGGGGCTGGTGGGTTGGATTCTCGCAGTAGTGAAGTGAAGGACCTGACATTTCTCTCTGCAACTCAAATGGCGAGTGTGTGTGTGCGTGTTCTGAAGAAGTGTAATAGTGATGACAAATTTGATATTATCACATTTATCACTTAATCACCTAAATCCCATTATATTTGATATATTACATTTAAACCTTCAAAAATTTGTGCGATTGTAACACATAACCCATATCCGGTTTCATTAAAGTAACCCTTAAAAAAAGCTAAGATTTGATTAAATTTTTTAACTTGATATATAAAATATTAAATCCAAACAACGTGCTGCTTGTTTTGTTCAAGTCTAATAGATACTTGTTTATAAATGTTTTTATTATATAGCTCGGCAACCTTTATACTAAGAATAGAGAATCAGAATTTTTTGGGGAGGGAAAGTAAATTATAAATTTATTGCCTTTTTTTCTATATAATTAGGTTATTATTTGGACATAAAATATTAAATCTTATAAATATTCAGTGTATTGACATCTGACAATTTAGATATGTTAAGAAAATGTCACGTAGTTTAATCTAAAGAATTGTGAAAAATGATCAGTCACATTTGAAAAAAAAAATAACTAATTGGATGTTATNTAAGTGTATTGACATCTGACAATTTAGATATGTTAAGAAAATGTCACGTAGTTTAATCTAAAAAATTGTGAAAAATGATCAGTCACATTTGAAAAAAAAAATAACTAATTGGATGTTATTATTTAGTAATCGTCAATAAAAACAAAACCGTTGAGAACAACAATTATAAAAAGGAATGTGATAGAAAAGATGAATGATACATTCAAACTCCTAAAAGACCCACAATTTGGGCATTTTTCAAAATAGTTTTAGATTAGTTTTAAGAAGTAATATGGGCTACAATCAAGATTGTTCATTCAATATTTTCTATAACCAAAGTCCATTCGTTTGAATTAATAAAGGAATCTTTTTTTATTATTGTGTGTTTGTCTAATAAATTCATTCAAGGAAGTTCTAAAATTAGGCATTTGACCCACTCACAAACAATCGCCTAAAAATTATTTGTCAATTGAGATTCTTCCGTCTATCTCAACAAATTTTGGAGCAACAGTTATATATTGAGTCCAATTCTGTTCAAATGTTTGCATGCTTTTACTAATTTTTTTTTTTTTGGGTATTACGGTCAGGTTCTCTAGGATCATATATACACACCTCGATTAATCTTTTTTTTAACTTGATTAAAGACAAATAATTCATGCCGAGATTAAAAAAAAATAAAGTTAGAGGAAATATTCAAACTCCATAATCCAGCTTCCTCAGAGACTATCAAACCAAAACTCGACTTATTTTTGCTCCAAGATTTGGGCACCTACATGTGACAAAGCATGTAGTGTACTTCTCATAATTATGAGAAATTGTAAGGGTATGTATTGAAATTTAATGGAAATCCTATCTCTGTAGTTTATCCAAAGTACAGTCTATGACAATCACTATACCCCTCCCTCCTCCTTTGGGTATGACTTGTTAGCACTCACACGCAGTCATTTGCATCCAAAAATGGAGGCAAAGGCGTTGCAGCTAACATGCGCACCTCTTCCACCGCCCCCACCACCCGCCTTAACCCTTCCAGCAGCTCTAAGCCCTACTCATTTCAAGGCCAGATTTCCACCCATCGCAGGTTAGTCTCTAACATTACAAGCTTCACTATCTCGGGAAGGTAATTTACTCAAAAAATTTATCTTTATTAATTTTTTTTGGTGCCTTCAATTGCTAGTACTTTGTCGGAGCAAGAAGATAGAAGAGCAAGACCTGGATGGGCTTCCAAAAGAGTATTACGATGACGTATGTGACTGCATATAGGAATTGTTTTTCTAGCTTTGGTTTCTTTTGTTTTCCTGCTCTTCTTTGTTTTTGATGATTGGATTTTGTTCGATTAGTCGATATTCTTTGCTGCACAGGGTTTTGGGTATAAGGGTTCTTAATTTTGGAGAGTTCATGAAATGGGTCACTCCTGAATTAGCTTCTAGTGCCACCAATTTCTCAATTTATACTTTTGTGCTACATATACCATGTTTTTTGTTTTTGTTTTCTGTTTATTATTTTGGCTGAATTATGTGTTGCAAAGTAATCCAATATCCAAGAGACAACAATTGTACATATTCCGGCTGTTATTGCTAATATTTCTGCATTTATTCATAAAATCAAATTTATCCTTTGATATTATTTATAGTTTATAATTACGAATTTTAGTGTGATAGCAGGTTTGTGTTTGGAAAAATTATTCTGTGCATTTTTTTACTATCTGCTTAAATTTTAAGCCTTAATGCTGCTTTTTGAATATAAGAATAGATTCAAGGTGAGAGCAGTGACAACTTTTAGGAAGAACTCACATGGGGCTTATAAGTTCATAGTTCAACGGATTTTGAAACACTAAACCTTAATTTCAATTATTTTGAATATTTGCTGTGGCGTTTATTTTTACTTTACTGTGCAAGAAAACAAATTCTAGTTACTCTAACGTTGATGAGAGTGATTCTTTGATTATCATCATTAGAAAGGCCGTGCTAATTGATGTTAATGATCAGAATTGCCCGTAATGAGGCTGTGTCCCTCTGCCAATTTGGCAGAGCCTGCTATCAACCTTTAGATTGTGCTCTCTATATAAAAGACATGCTGGACATGGTGTAGAAGATAACCTGTTTGAAGTGATCTGTTTGATATGGAGTATTTATTAGATGACTACATTTTCTCGTTTATCTCCTACCTATTGCCTTACATATAAATCAAGTTTTCACTGACAATTCTCTTACTCAAGGTTCTTATTTGAGGATGTTTTCAAAGACAAGGTAGACCTTGAATAAAAAAAATTTGATTTCATGAATCCAATATATTTTTTTTTTTTGTTGAAAACCTTGAAATCTGGCACTCAGTTTGTCTACGATAGGAATGGCAAGCCCAACAGCGGGAAAAAACCAAGGAATTGCATCAAAAACGTCAAGAGGAAGACGAGGAAGAGGAAAGAAAGGTTGATGAATATCGTGAAATAGGCATGCGGTTGAAGGATTATCCTGAAGAAGAACGTCAAAAGGCAAAGAAATTGGTTTCAAGCTTTATCAGATCTGCTGAAGAAGTGGAAGAGGTAAGCACCAATATGGCATCAAAAATCTAATACCCTATGTCATAGGAAGACATTGTCTTTTGTTAAATAGATGTGGTCATAGGTATTAGGCCTCATTTGTCATTTCTACTTTCCGGACTTAAATTGTGTTTTGAATTATTTATTTTAGGGTTTTTGAATTCCCCGTATATCGGAAAATAAGGTACTTGTTTTGAACATTCTTTAACTTTGAGTTATTGAGACTTTTACTCTGTCCCTAATCTCCATCTTTCCCCTTCTTCTCTTCTCATTCCCTAATTCCATTCTCAGTCTACATCACTATACTTGTGTCATTTCTTCCTACTAAAGCAGCCTTTGAATGGATGTTTATGTGTTTGTTTTGACATCCAACGTCTCAAAATTTATTGTTTTTTTGGACTAAGCATTTAAGAGGAAGTATTTCCATCAAACACTTTTACCATGTTTGTGCATGTTAAGACTGGCAACAAAGTATCTTTGCTTGGGATCTAGCAATGTGGCTTTCTTCGTGGTAAAATTGAGTTACTTCCATTGACTATTGTTAGTTCCCTACCTTATCCATAGTTGTTAGTATCGTAAGATATGTGATACGATATATACAACACATTTCGATACAATATCAATTTGTAATGTATCGTGCGATATACGATACGATACACCCGATACAAAACGATTGGTATGTATCAGATTGGGGTAAAATAGAAAAAAAAATTCTTTGAATTTTAACCAGAAAATAACACTTTTACACTTGGAAGTAATTCTTTCAAATACTAGGTAATGAAATGACGTAGTTTCACCATCTATAGTTTTTAAAAATAAAAATCTTCTTTTTTATTTATTCCATCGCAAGAGTAAATAGTTTGATTATTAAAAGTGTCATTCTCTGGTTATTTTAGATGTTAGAACTAGAACTCTCTAACTTTTGATTTTAATGAATTATGTTAGAAACTTCAATACATAGATTGTTAATTTTTTGTTTTGGTTATTGTAGTATCTTTAAATTATTTTATTTGAGAAATTTGTGATGTAATCAAATGTTATTATGACATTTTATCATAGGTATATGTATTTTTTAATATCTTTTATGAAACTACACGTATCTAAACACGATACATTACGATACTCAATACACTGTTTTTGCAAAATGATACGCCTTCTAATACACGTTTTGACAACATTGACCTCATCCCAATCAACTGAAATCAGAATATGTAATATGCTCCAACTGTATCGCTCTTACCCAAGTGGGGGATGATATATCGGATGCGGGCTATTCATGATCAATTTCTTATGCAATAAAAGATATTTCCTGTGCATTGTAAGCCAGAGTACACTGCCTTTTCTATCCTTAGTAGTATTAAGCACTCGCCCCAACGTCCTTATTTTGTCCTCTTCTCTGCCATCATAGCTATGTTAGAAGGCCAGATTATTGATATCGGTATATTTTGATGTGCTCATGTAGCAAGCCTTCATCATGGTGCTTGCTTTGAAATGTTGACATCAAAACCAAGAGGAAATTATGGGCTTGCTTTCCTGTAGGAGTTTTATCTTGTTTCATAAGTTATTCATTTCAAAAGGGCAACATAGAACACTCATGGTAATTGGTCCCCTTGGCTAGTTACAAATGAAACTATTTTTCGTTGGGAGTCTTATTTGGCATTAAAATATATTAAACAATGGAAAAGGAGAAAAATAAACCTAACTTTTAATTTGAGTCGGTCGGACATACTAGAAAGAATCAAGAATTCCTTGGACTTGCAACATAGAAACATCATTATTTTCTCTAAATCCTGTGCAACACATTTTTGTACAAACTTTTTAGTGTGCAAGCAGAAGTTACTGGAGGTGCTTTTGATTATAGAAAACCATCATCATATGGCTGCTTATGTCATTCAATGGCTTGTACTTCCTTCTTTTTCATTGTAAATATGCGAGCATGCCTTGTTTCACTATCTTTTTCCAGATATCAACAGGATTCTTATACCTTTTCTTCAAGATTCTGTAGCAGTAGAATTCAACTTAAAGACATCATGTGCCTAACTGATGTTCGTGATTGCTGTTTCACTTCCTTATGTGCAGAAAATTGAGGAAGCTGCTGAGAAAGGCGAACTCACCGAGCTTGTTCTTATGGTCATATGGAATCGCCTCGACCTCGCTCGGCGTGATGTACGTTAGTGTAGTACTAACTTGATCATTTATGTGCTGATTTACATTGGTCTTTTTCAAGAGGTGATGCTATTGTTGTTATTTTAACGTGGCTAATTCGTGAAATGCACGTTAGTGAGAATGTTTTTCAAAACCATTTCAGATCTAATGCCTATCTAAATAACAATTTCCTTCTGTTGTACATAGAATTTAAGGATCTAGGCCCAAGTTTGGATTTGCGAATTTAATCCGATCAAACTTCCCACCCAAAAACTAGGATTTTGAATGACAGAAGCTTAGTGAGGTTCACTAATACTTTAGAAGTGTTAAAAATTTGCGACATACAGGTCAATTAAGCAATTGATCCAAAAATAGACAAATTATATGCTATAGTTCCACATTGCTAACTTCTCTTCAAAGAATCCAGGTTGTTTTACTGAGATCCTGATGGCATTCTTTCCGTTATTTCATATTGTTAAGTGAGTCTCCTCGCGAAGATGTCATGTGATTGACCTTGATATTGACAATGATTCAAGATGAGGATAACCTGTTTTCTTTTAAACTTTGGATTTTTGGAACTATGTTTCTGCCTTTTGTATTTGTATTACATTAATAATAGCTGCAGAAGTGCAGATTTATATAGTTCAAGATTTACTTTATTGGAGGCGGCAGTTAGCGATTCTCTTCATTTCTCTCTACTAACCAAGATTTTCATGAAAATATAACAGGATGAAAAGGATGCCGTACGAAGTCTCAATCTCTTGTACAGGCGGGTTGAGGTATGCACTGTTCATCACGCTAATGCTGTTAGAGTTGGCCGCCAAGTTGTTGAATATCTTAAGGGGTTGAGCAAATGATTATCAAATTCCATAACATTCCAAATCATAGCTATGTTGCTATGGCAATTTTGGCTTCACATGGCGTCACATACTCAAATCTATGATTCTTGGTTGATGTTTTGGTTTTATATTTGTATGCTACAATGTAAAATAGTCAATTTACTGTTAATTGTTAGAATTTTATTAGATTTAGAGGATTCTATGATATGATTCCAAGCATGGAAGATTGGCATATTTGTAACTTTGGAAAATGTCCTGCCACCTGCAATTTATTTCGTACATCCATATGGAACAACAAAGTCCTCCACACAGAACAAAACCTTCCTATAAAGTCTCAGAAAGTTAAGACCAAGGCAGATGCCTCCACGCTTCTGAGATGCCTTTGATTCTGCTCTAGCCAAGTGCACCATAATACAGAAAGCGGCGCGGCGACCCAGACCTCAAAAACTCACCTCGTGCCACAGCCTTTTTCCCAACACCATAACAATCACACAACCGATTTAGGCATTACCCATGAAACACAAAACAAAGAGGACCCAAGCCCCCGCACTTCTCTGGTACTGCACCAGATGATTATCCGATCCCTTTGCTCTCATAATGCCCTAAACCTGTGTTGTCCCTTCTCGTGGTCTTCTTCAAATCACCACTTTCCTATTTTTAGAAGACCCTGATTTCTTGTTCTTCAACTTGACAATTGTTCACTTTGGTGGTGATGATTGCATTAGGAATCTAGTTCTCTCATCCACATTTCAAACTAAGCTCTTGGTCATTATTGATAGATTTCCACCCTTTTGGCAGTCCTGTCTTTTTGTTTTAGTTTTGTTTCTTGTATAACATGTCTTGGAGTATCACCATGTCTAAGTCATCCCAATCATTTTAGACAGAGATCTTGAAAAGGGAGGCCACTCCTGCAATGAGACTGCTCAATGATCTGTTGAATATGCATGATGGATTTGATAATGAAGGATGGGCGAAGGCATGTAAAAAGCGTATGGTTGATACTTTTCCACGAGAGGATCCATTCAGTATTCTTGTTCCAGCTGGATTTGACATTGATAAGGTACCTCATAAGACATACAATTTTCATTCTTTGTGATTATCTGGGCATTTGTCCAACTTCATGGCTATTGATTCGTGCATATAATTTTTTTTTTTTATCAAGATTCGTGCATATAATTAAATAACAAAAAAAAAGGACTTTGTGCATATAGTTTCATGATGTGATAGACTCGGACATAAGTAATCATCCTCAAGCTAATTCGGATTTGATCACATTTTCAGTTTTCAGGCTTCATTTCCCACTACATAATTTAATTTTAGTGATTAGAAGAGAAAATTGTCTCATAAGCCTTGGGGTGGACCCCGGACAGATTAGTTGAGAAAGCCAAACGAGATAACCATTAGTTGCGAGGCTGTTTTCATATGCGAAAGGCCATGATGGAATCATGGTGCAATGTGTGGGTCCTGGGCTTATGATTTGGATGATATTGAGCAAAATGTCATTTGCTCAATGTGGCTTGCCAGAGATGCGCATGTTGATGAAGTACTACTATTATATAAAACAAATGAGGCCAATTGGAGGAATAAGCGCATCATTGGAATTTAGAATGCTGCTGGAACCTTCTATACGTTGGGAGACAATAATTTATATAAATGTTAGATGTGAGCCTTAATGTTTTTTCTGCATTTTGTTGGATAGTTCTTCTGTAATGATCAAGTTATTCAAATGCGATGATTTTTTTTTTTTGTTTACTTTTTTACAATTTCTGCCAGCATCAAGGCCCAATAAGACCACCAATGGAAGTTGATGACGTCCTGTTGAGGGTAGATTTTGTGAGAGAGCTTGATGCTTTGCTACAGGAGGTTCGGTCTGAACAAAGTGAAGCACAAGATGCACAAGGGTTTGATCCTGAATCTGTTGCAAGTAGGTTGAAGCAACAGGAGCAACGGCAGGCTATTCACCTAGTGGAAGCTGTACTGGATATAGCTATTAATTTGAAATGGTAGTCAATATACTCCCTGTTTCTTTATTTTCCTCAACTATACAAATCCTTCTAATGACTTGGTTGGCAACTCCTTCTTCTTCTCCGTCTCTGTTGTACTGCAGAATGATATATTCCCATTGTGTTTGGGTTTTTGTATTTTCAGGTTGCAATGAACTGTGACCTAAATTATATGTGGGAGTGTTATTCTGTGTTTCCATTCTTTTTTGTCCTTTAACAAGGAAATATGTTGAAAATCAGAACTGTGCTGATGCCAAGGAATTCAATATTAATAAGAGAATCCCTGCATGAATGAGATCTTGTGGTGCAGTTAGTTTTTACTTCTATTTTTTTTTTTTTGGATCTTGTAGTGGATTGAAACTGGTAATGCTTAAGATGATTTGGTTTAAGAAAGAAACTGGTTTGGAAAAGAGAGTCAAGGCAACCTTGGAGTTAAGTTATGAGAGATTTATCTTAAATGAATACTTTAGTGCCCAAGGCAAAATTGAGGTCCTGGGTGAAATTCTTGGATGAGGCGCTACTCTAAATTTATTTGTTTAAATTTTATTTTTTTACAATCTGAGATGACAAGGTACTATTTAAACTTTTATATTTTTTTTTTTTTTACATATCATTTTAACTGATAACATTCATTCAATTCAAGGGCTAACCGTTGGTATAATAGAAAGAAAATTATTTATTAGATTTTTGTTAGTCTAATTATTGACAATAAAAAATTTATGAATAATAAAATTCAAGTCTCGTACCCGATACTCAAGTAATTTTTATGTTATCAGTGTCAATAAAAAGAAGTNTATGAGAGATTTATCTTAAATGAATACTTTAGTGCCCAAGACAAAATTGAGATCCTGGGTGAAATTCTTGGATGAGGCGCTACTCTAAATTTATTTGTTTAAATTTTATTTTTTTACAATCTGAGATGACCAGGTACTATTTAAACTTTTATATTTATTTTTTTTTTACATATCATTTTAACTGATAACATTCATTCAATTCAAGGGCTAACCGTTGGTATAATAGAAAGAAAATGATTTATTAGATTTTTGTTAGTCTAATTATTGACAATAAAAAATTTATGAATAATAAAATTCAAGTCTCGTACCCGATACTCAAGTAATTTTTATGTTATCAGTGTCAATAAAAAGAAGTTCTCAACAAACTCAATTTTTAAATTTAAACTAATTTAACTTATCAAAAGACTATTAAATAATAGAATAACCAACAAATAAAAAAATTTACTTAATTAAACATCAATCTAAAAATTTTGCATGGGCCCTAAAAATAAAATTAAACTTAATTGAACATAAATTTAACATCCCTAAAAAAAAATCTTAATTTAATTAAATCTGAATTTAAAATTTTTTGGGGGTCCTAGGCGAATGTTTCAATTGCCTTGCATTGGGCCGGCTCTTTTAGTTCCGATGTGAATGTTCTGTCTTTGACATAATTGAGTAGAGAATTAATCAAAATATACGTAAACTAATCCGAACACCCCTGACCATTAAACCATAAAAAAAAAAAAAAAAAAAAAAAANTAAATAATAGAATAACCAACAAATAAAAAAATTTACTTAATTAAACATCAATCTAAAAATTTTGCATGGGCCCTAAAAATAAAATTAAACTTAATTGAACATAAATTTAACATCCCTAAAAAAAAATCTTAATTTAATTAAATCTGAATTTAAAATTTTTTGGGGGTCCTAGGTGAATGTTTCAATTGCCTTGCATTGGGCCGGCTCTTTTAGTTCCGATGTTAATGTTCTGTCTTTGACATGATTGAGTAGAGAATTAATCAAAATATACGTAAACTAATCCGAACACCCCTGACCATTAAACCATAAAAAAAAAAAAAAAAAAAAAAAATTGAAGCAACACATACCTCTGGCACTGCAACTGTGCCTTAAAAATGCCAAATTTAGCAGAATAATCACTGGAATTACAAAACTTTCGCTTAGACTGCAACATTCAAATCACCGAGGAAGGTCAATAATAGAAGCTCTTATTGATATGGGCAAAGAATAGTTACATGTTCTGATACTGCTATTGCCTCTGAAATGACATCTTACACTGCATCTCCTGACTTCATTGGAGCATTATTATACAGCAAGAAGTACCTCCCTCATGACACACAAAATTGAACGATAAGGAAAAGAATCATGTATGATCTCATTCTTTTTACTCTGTTCTTCTTTCGGATTCTTATTTCGGGGGAGGCAAGGTGCTCTTTTTCTTTTTTTTTTTTTTGTTGTGGGGGGTTTGGGGGGGGGGGGGGGGGGGGGGATTCTCAAAGTGATTTCAACCACTCTGGCTCCTGGCTTCAAAAAGAACACAGCTATGAGACGTCATTTCATAAGTGAGTAATCCAGCCATCTGCTCAAGGATAGAATCTCCATCTGCAGAGAAAAATCCTGGATATGGAAGAGCTGTATCAACCAAACGAAGCCATGCCATCTCTGCCGGAGGTGGGGGTAAATTAATACTCTGTGAATGATCGGCAGCATTGAAGGCAACAAACAAGTCAGTAAACACAACATGAGAAGATTCAGAGCTCGTCTCGCTATCATCTGCAACAGCCTTCAAAGTCGTGGCTAGAAATTTGCTGGACGGATCATTCCATTCCGGGGGGGACTGATGACTTCCATGCCACTCAATATTCTCTTCTTTCAAGAAGTTTCTCTTCTGAAGAAGATCACTTCTCCTGATTCGTAATGAAGTCAAAAATGAAATAAACTCTCTGGTCTGAATGCCAAAGCCAGTTTCTAGAGCAGTCCAATTGAAAGCTTTTCGGTCATCATATGCAGGGGAACCCCCAGAAGATTGGCCACACTCATCTCCCATGTTGAGGATTGGCACACCCAGAGAGATAAACAAGATGAAGAGAAAATTCCGGGTTTGTTTGAGCCGTCTTTCAAGGACAACAGTTTTATTTGTAGGGCCTTCTACCCCACAATTCCAACTTAATTGTGAAGTTAGCTCACTGCTACTGAAGCTGACTAAGTCCACAAGAGGGAGTCCAAAGTTTCTGGCAATAAAATTGAAAGAGAATGCTGGGCCACGTCCTCCCAAAAAGATATCCCCACTCCCACAAAGTCGCGTTGCAAGGTTGCTAATAAGACCCTCACCCCTCAAAAAGTTCCTCACATCGTTGCAAAATTTTACATTTATTTCTGCCCATCTCTTCCAGTGAGGGAATCGAATTTCCTTTGGAACCATGTGATGCAGGTCCCAAGAATCCGCAATTATCTTGGTTTTTGAAAGTATTGGATCAAAAGCAATTGCTTCAACCAAAAGAGGGCGGGACAGATACTCACCATGGGACCCTCTCAATAGAGATGAAGCATCTATAAAACAAAAGCCATCAATGTGGAACTCAACCACCCAATGCCGAAGACTATCCAAAATCATTTGGTGCACAATGGGGTAATTGCAATTCAAAGAATTTCTAGTTCCTAAATCCTTGCCCGCTTTGCCATAATAGTAGGAAAAGTCATCAATTTCTACCAATGCTGCACCCTCAGCAGTACGGGTGAAAACAACTTCTAGGAAAACCTCTATCCCATTGGCATGCAATCTCTTCACCATCTCCTTCATTGAATTTATAGCAGACACGGGGCTATCAGAAGGTCCGTATTGGTTACTTGGTGAAAAGAAATGCAAAGGGAAGTACGGTCCTTTCTGCACATCGAAAGGAAAGATTGGTTCTAATAAGATTGCATTCATGCCAAGATCTTTGAAATGCTGCAACTTCTCAGCAATTCCAGAGAAGGTACCTGCTATATTATCAGGTAACTTACTGGACTTGTCTTCCGTAAAACGCCTCACACTTAACCGATAAATCACTAGTTTCTCCATCGATAAGCAAGGTCGAACATCACCAGTCCAATCAAAAGCAGGTTCTTTGCACAGTTTTCCAAGACATCTGAGATGTACACCAGACCCATGCTGAACAGGAATGAAATCCTCGATAGTCTTAGCATATGGATCCAACAGAACATGCTGTGAATTGGATTTATCTCTTCCTTCTTGAACAGCCCCCTTGCACCGATAACCATAGCTCACAAAGGGCATGTTACTATCCATTGAAGCATGCCAAATGTGACCTGATCGATTGACATATGGGTCTAGATCAATCTCTAAAGCAGGCTTATCTGCCATGGCGTCGTCATACAGGCACAAAATTACACTCTTTGCACTTCGTGAAAAAAGGGCAAAATTCATGGAACCATCAGCTGAAAAGGAAAGACCTAATGGAGCAGGATGCCCTGAATGGAAACCAACTGGAACACAAAAATTTGCCTTCATATGGCTTTTAATTTCTGAGCTTTTCGAATCACCAGCCACTGGAGACTTCAATAGAAATGAAACATAGAAAGGGGCTAAACTCGCATCAAAATCCAACTCAACTGCAAGCCCGTCCAAAGATTTTTGTACAAGTGGTGTTTCAGTGGTACTGGATTTGTCATTTGAACCAGCGTTTGGAATATCCACAGGCATGAAACACGATGAATCAGACCTGAATATGCCCCAAATCATAACCAGGTCACCCTCGATGGCACAAAGTTGCAAGGATGAAACTTCAATGTACACTACATACTTGTTATTTTTCTTTTCAACAAATACCTTCACCTGCCCACCAATTTCTGTCATAAATCGATAAGTTAGCACAGTTTTCGTAGTTTCAACAGCAGAGGCTACTTGGGCCAATACTCTCAGCCTATGACTTGGATGCATAAAGTTCGGCGCATTTTTCGTAACTTCACCCCAAACCATTTTTATTCCAACATTTGTTCTACTTGAGCTTTGCGTCACTCTGTTCCCATATTTACAATGAGTGGCAGNTTTTTCGTAACTTCACCCCAAACCATTTTTATTCCAACATTTGTTCTACTTGAGCTTTGCGTCACTCTGTTCCCATATTTACAATGAGTGGCAGCAACCAACTTAGATGAGTCAATTGCTCTGCAGCTTATGCAATGGGATCCCATTAGAAAGGTTAGTGGAAGTGTTGCCATCTGTTGATGCAATAGGAGATAAAACCACGATGCCTGACATAAAACTTTCTGCAATGAAAGGATTTTCCTACTTGATCATCAATCTTTCTCTGTTGAAGATGAAACAAATAAATTTGTTTAGCACCGCAACAAAAAGAAGATTTATGTGATTGTGTGAATACCTACTAAGACATTTCCATGTTGTGATCATGCTAATTGAATTCTTGATTGCCAAAAAGAGCAGGATAACAATCACCTGTAGTACTAAGCAAGACACAGACTACAAAATCTTTGCCGAAACATTCTCTTCACATGCTATAACCAATATTACTTGGATTGTATGTCACTTTAATACGTGATATGGCTACGGATATGGCTACGACACTTTGTTAGGTATGCGGTATAATGGGGGTAAGATTAGTTGGTATGGTATTTTGGGTCGCAATTCATTTTAGAGCTCTTATCTAGATTGTTTTCACCACTATATAACATTATATATCATATAACATCCATAAACACTAAATCAATTATCATTTATCTTACACGCTCGATTTTTTATCACCTAAAACAATATATAATTATATATCTATATATACATAATTAATTAATATAATTTATGTTTGTGTTACGTGTATAATTTGGGATCATATATTTTTGTAATCCGGATCACGAATTCACCCCATTTGAGATCGATTTACCANTTACGTGTATAATTTGGGATCATATATTTTGGTAATCCAGATCACGAATTCACCCCATTTGAGATTGATTTACCCTGATCGTGGTATAGACCACCATATGAATTTCTTCCAATTTCTAGAAATCAGAAAACACTCGAATGACCAATAAATAAAATGATACATAGTGGACAGATTCGATTTTCAGAAAACATCCAGATGCCCGATAAGCATATCGACAGCTCACATCGTTTTGTTTGACAAAATGCCCCAGTAGATGAATTTTTTGAGGCTGGCTTAGAACACATAAATATTTCGAAGCAAATGATATGAAAATTCAAATTCAATCCATTTGTAGTTCATGAACATCAGAAGTGAGTGACACTGATACGCATTTGAGAAAATCTACCGAATAATTCCTATCTCAATTATCAAACTTTACCACATGAAACCGAACGCATTCATCAACGTCAAAATAGATAAATACCCAGTTGAGAAACGAAACAAATTAAGAATAAACCTCCATTCTACAGTGGGTAAAACCATCAAAACGCTAAGACCCAAATATCCACAACAGAAATCATCCCAAAAAATCAAGTGAGAAAAGATGAAACTCACAGCATCGATAGTTCTCAGTAAGAGAAGCTGCAAAATGGCAGAATCTCCACAAGTTGACGAGAGAGAAACCCAAAAGGGTCACTCACAGTTGATAAACTGCTTCGCACTTACTAGAGATTCAACAACTATAACTCAAGTGCGGTGAGAAAGCGAAGCAAATGTACGGATGGTCGTCATGTGTTATGTAATGTGTTACGGATGGTCGACAAAGCGAAGCAAACTGTGTTATGTAATCTTTCTCTTACTCTAAGAACCGCACAAGCACAATGGAAGCAGTTTGCGATTTGGCAAATCATGGAAGACAGAGAGAGTGTTTTGTTGTTACGTATCGCCGGTCCATGGCAACTTCACTGGTAGCTCGTCTGTGACTGTTGGATCCTTGCTTTTGCCAGATCACTCGTACGAAAATGTTTGTTTTGTGGTGTGGTCCCCCCCCCTGTTATTTTTCATTATTGCAGTTATGATTTGCTGAAAATATAACAAATTTACACGAGGATATTAGGTTTAAAACAACTCCGGTCCAGCTCAATATGATTATTAGAAATATATTTAAATATTATATTTTTTATTTTAACTAGGAGGGGTGTTTATTCTATCTTATGTATAAGAAATATGCTCTTTCGTTTTTTTATCCGATACTTTACAGAAGAATTTTTTCTTGGCCTACCCTATCCGACAAGTGTGGTATTCCTACCCAATTAATTGAGCAGGAAATTGGGTAAATATTTTTGTAACAATTAATTTTTTGGTCATTTTAACAATTTAATTAAATAACATACACCAATTTAAAAACACAATAAATCAATTAACACTAAAATCTAAAATAACTACAACAAGAATTATAATAAAACACAAAAAAATATGAACATCAAACCACCATAATTGTTACACAAATATAATAATAATTAATTTAAGTTTAAACTTTAAACCATATGAAATACATTAAAATCATAATTGTTCCGCCTGTGGTTAGGGTTATTTTAGTTTTTATATATATATTAAAAAATTATTGCGGGTAGGGTAGAGTAGAAATGCGGAAATGAATGACTATTCCGCATTCCTACCCGAAAATTGTCGAAAGACCAAAAATTTTTCCGCATTCCTACCCAATTTTTGCGACTAGTCGTTCAGTAAAGTAGAGTAGGGTAGGGTAGGAACTTGCGGCCTGTCAGAAATTTGAACATCCCCTATTAACTAGTCATTTTTTCAAATTCACTCCAACAACGCTCTTTATTTTAACTACTACTCCAACTAACTTTAACTAATTTTCAATAATATAATTCAACTCAAAGCATGGATAATCATCAACCCAACCAAAATCATATCATAATAATAATTTTAAGTAAACTTTAAATAATACAATTTAATGGCAATTTAACACCCATCCACTTTAAATAACAAAAATTAATTGCACAATACGTCTCAAATATTTACATTAATATTTCATGAGGGTCTAAATATAAATATTCTATTATACATAAAAACTAAGAGAGTTTTCAAAATTTTTAGGGGGTTTCAGAATTTGGAAGGGATGGGGTATTTCACTCATCTAGTTCACAGCAGCAACAAGGAATATTTGGTTTACAACAATAGCAGCAGCCACTGGTGAACAATTTCCCCTCGCTAGATCTGGCGAGCAAATTTTGCTTCCTAGATTTTGGTGAGGTGGATGGCTAGAGCTAAATTTGTGAGGATTGCTCGTCAAAAAAGCTAAAAGGAAAGAGTAACGTTCCTCGTTGGAGATGCTCTTACAATCACTCAAGTTGATCAAAAAAATAAATAAATAAATAAATATGATGGTATTTTTACTCTTTTATTTATAACTAAAATTTTTATTTTATTTATCATATCTAATGATGCATAAAATATGCTTATGCACCACATGTCAAGTATTTAATGCTTCAAAGAGAATCAACACAGGCAAAAATACAATTTAAGTAGTTCAGTTATGGTGATCTATTCCACTGTGAAGGATTAGGATGGTCTGAGTGTTTTATTACTTCAAGAAATGATGGGCTAAGATGACATGTGTGTTTTATTGTTTCAAAGAGTATATGGTGCTCAAGTATAAGTGATATATGTGAGATGTCTCTTTGTATAAGTGGGACTTACAATTTATACGTGCTTCTAATCAAATTAAAGCGTCTTTTTTGTATCAGATGCGATAGTTCCGTAAATGTGACACCCTTTTCGTAACAAGTAAAACAATTCTATGGGAGTGGTGATATGCGTATCCCAAAGAGATCTCCTCACATATCTCTTGCCATGACGTAACTGACTTGGCTCTCTCAAGATGACACGATTGGCCTACCCTAAACTTCTTCCATCCTATGGTGAATTTGACATATATTTTTAAAATAAATTTAGTTTGCGATTCTGAACTGAACCTCTAACTTGGCCATGATTTCAACTGAGACCGTCAATATCAACTTCATTTTATTTGATCAATTTAGGCTGTTTATTATCTCCCGTATCTAATTAGGACCTTGGATTAGTTGCAGAAGCAACTTGCTAGACGGAAATTTTTGAAAATATTTCCTGACTAAACTCAACAAGCAATTTTTCAGTTCATAAGATATGTTTTAAACCCGCTCAGATTATAGTGACCAATCGACACAAGTTTTGACACCCTGTAACACAAAAAATCTTTGCTACGACACTGAACATGTAGTTCTTGTTATACACTGTAAAATTCTTATGTCTATGAACTTGCAAGATATCAACATTCTAACAAAAACATATGGTAAAATAAATAATTGAAGAAAAGAATGAACTCAGATGAACATTTTTTTCAAAAGAATTAATATCTCAAACTTCCAGCATCAGGACTGCCGTCAGAAACAGCTTTACTACCCATACGGGAAGTTCTCTTGGTTGCAACAAGTAGGTTATCCTCCTCATCAGCAATGGCTGCTGGTCCCTCTATCTCGCCACCCTTGAAAACTGGGTGCACATAAGCATCCTGGAGATATGACTTCAAGTTCAGGTTTGGTTCTGTAGCCCGTTCCAAAGTATCCTTCACCATCGCATCCTGTGATCAAGTATAGCAGTAATGATCAACAAGTTCTAACGTCGGTAACCTCTAACATACTCGAATATTAACTCAAGGGTATACTATCAGAGAAGCAAGCAGGTTACATGACATTCACAGCAAAAAATCTGTAGCATGCAAAATGACAAACAATTAAACAATCTAATAATCAAGGATTTTCTAAGAACTATAGTTCATTCTCCTTATTTTTATTTTTAAGTATCAACAACATAACTGTACGAATGGTCTTCCAAGCAGATGGGACACATTTTCTGTTCCCTATATTTTTTTTTCTTCAAGCTTCTTATCAGACTTCCTTATTTTCCTGGCTCCCAGACGTGCTGCAAAGGTAAGGCCATCAGAATGGTGATATGTGAATCTTTTTGCCATCAGGATATAGAATTGTTCAACGATTGTTAAGAGGTATCACTGTGCAAAACCATCCAGGGAAACTGACACTTCCTGTGGTGATGTTCTCCGTAAATAAATTTTAGTCCAACAAGTGATGAAAAGGAATGCCTAGTTGTGTGTTATATTATCATTCGGCAATCAAGAAACAGATTCACAAATCCACTTATCATAGCTGTGACAAAGCAATAGTTAGATACTTTCTCTAATGCAGAAATAGTTAGATTTCTCCAATTTGTAGCTAGCTGTTGGTAATATTAGAGAACAGTCCATAATGAAGACTTGCAGGGGTAGAAGAAATTCTGACTAACGAATTTGTGAGCCAGATATGAAATGCTTGTCAGTCTTGGCAACATTTCTAGCAAAGAACTTACCCCAAACAAACATTTTTAGTATAGCAAAGACACAATTCAAATAATGACTTGGTCTAAGACTCGGTTCTCAGAAAATCGTAAGAGAATGTCCCAATATTTGGACTGCAAACATGGTAGCAGTAGATTGTAGAATTATAAAAGAAGACAAGTCCACCACTTGCATTTACTGTTGCGGTGTGAGGATGATTGTAATTTTGCAGAGGAGATTCAGGTGTTTCCCATTGAAGAAGATAAGGTAAAATAGGTGACAGCTTGGCTACTGAGATTATGTAGATGAAGTGATACATTGGTTCAGCAGTTGCAAAATATTAGTCAAGATGCTAAAGTGATTAAGAATGATCAGCTCTATTGGCACCGGAACAGTCCAATACTCTCACTAATGAGAGAATCGGCAATAAGGTTGCTAAGTGACTCACCTAGGCATCCTCTGTAACCAGAGTGATTAATATGAAAACCCCCAAATGATTACTGTTTATTGGATCAAGATGATACATCTTCTTAACCTACAACTGCCATTCCAGTCATTGACATTGAAATCAGATCAAGTTATCCTACAATTGTCAGAGCACTAAAGAGTTTAGACTCCTTTTAGCTTTTATATTACTATCCAATCGACTTTTTCATACTTAATGAAGAAAAATGAAGAATCCAAATGTTTAGGTTTTTAGAGTATTATATATTATGGGTAGTTTAGTCGTTTACATTATTCTACATTTTTTACATTGCCCTACTACACAAGGGCTTAGGTTAAGGCTAATGGTGTAGCAATAATATTTTTCTCTTGCTCTATTTCTTCTTCTTTTTTCTCTTTGGTTATATTTACATGGAACTCAAGGCTTACTTGGATGCTTACTAGGTTGGTGACTTTCCTTGGTAATTATCTTCTTTTTTTTTTGAAAAGTTGGAAGCAAATTGTTGTTGCTCATCCCTCTGCTGAAACTGAGTACTGTGGTCCGTAATATGACATCTACCACAGCTGAGATAGTTTTGCTGCGATGGCTACTTGCGGATCTTGGCATTTCACTATCTGCTCCTACCCTTATATATTGTGATAATACCAGTGCTATTCAGATTGGCCACAATTCAATCTTCCATGAGCATGCAAAGCATATTGAGATTGATTGCCACTTTGTGCGCCATCATCTTCAGTTGGGCACTATTACCCTCCCATTTCTTCCTTCCAGTAGGCAGTTAGTAGATTTATTTACGAAATCTCACACCACAAGCCATTTTCACTTTCTTCTTGGCAAACTCTTGATGTTCTTTACCACATCATGAGTTTGAGGGGGATGTTAAGAGTATTAAATATCAGGAGTAGTCTAGTTGTTTACATTATTCTAAGGGCCTTTGTATTCTAAGGGCCTTTGTTGTGTAATTTAGGTTAAGGCAGTAATACAAACTAATGGTGCAGCAATAATATTTTCTCTTCTCTATTTCGTCTTCTTTTTTTCTCTTTGGTAATATTTTACAAAGGCTACTGAATTTGTTGAAAAGAAACAAAGGATGCTGACAACACACCTTAAGAAAAGGTCTCCATTAGTACCACGATGATTGATAAATATAGAGCACAGGTATTGTTGTATGTACTATGTAGTTTATATAACACAAATCTTGCATAATTATAGCTCAAGAAATCATTAGGGAGAAAAAAAGCTATTGAAAATATCCCACACTAACCTGTAAGGGAAATTTTACGAATGCTGATTCAAATCGGCCCTTGCAAAACATATGGAACCAGATGGTCAAAACAGGAAGTGCAATTAGGAATGGAGTTGATTGGTCAGCATTTTTTGTGCCTAGCAATCCCATAAGTAGAAGTTGTGATATTATCAAACCAATAATTATACGCCGATGCACATCCGGCCAGAACGCTGCCCCACTTTCGTACTTTTGATCATATACATTGATGATCTTGCAAGAAGAAGAAATGCCACAGCATGATTGGTTTGATTATGAGTACAAAGATATATTGCATGTACAAAAGAAACTTCGTCAATGCTTAGCTTGAAGTTTTCAAAAATGATGCAAAAGGTGCACAAGAGCAGTGTAGAAATGCAATTCAATTTTGGAATTTTGTTCAAAGGATTCAAGCAGGAAATCTACTGAACTGGGCTGTTCAACAGCAAGAGTTCTGATGCTGTTTACCAGAGTGGTTCAACTGGATAACCTTAAAAAATAGAAAGAACGTGTGAAATCGAAGGCCTTAAATTCCTTCGATTTTTTCTTACGAATTTTCTTCTTAACGTATATATAAATTTGATCCCTAAATAATTACAAAAGGAGAGTGCAATAATACAAGTTTTAATAGAAAAATAAAAGAACAGTAGTATCCAATTTTAAATGCTGCTCCAAATTTGAATCCTTTTGGGCTATACTTTCCAATTCACCATAGGGCTTCAGCTTAACTTGTACCTCAATTTAGAATGGCAGAAAAGACAAGTATTTTGAAGCTTTGTCAAAATGTTCAAGCTACAGTGCATGTTTTGAGAAAGGTATTCCTATACACCTGAGTAAATAATGCAACCGTGTTCATATGTAATAACAGCATTAAGCATGCCCATAGTCAAAAATCAATTCCCTACACACTTGTATCAATACCCACATATACAAAATTTAGAGTTTTAAGTTTTTCGTTTGGTCTTTTCTTTGGCTGGGTTCTTAAAGTTTTTTATTTGCTCCCTTCTTTGGCTGGTGAAACCTGACTAAAACTAAGTACAATGGTGTAAGCATTGCACATTTGATTCTTAGTGCCATATACGCAAAAAATTATGGAATCTTGGGGCTCTACTGATAGAGAATTCAAATTTATAGCTACCATCTGAAATCATTTAACTACTTTTCAATTCTGTGCCTGTCGTTTTTCTTTAGTTTGTTTATTTGCATTATTCCAAATTTGCATAAGACAACGCCACTGCTTTCTTGTGCTTGCTTTGGTCTTTTCTTCCTATCCCCCTCCAAGGTATATATAAATTGTTGTCAAAAAATCGAAGAATGAGAGCCAACTCCCTTCATAAACATACCTGATGGCGAAAAACCAAAAAAGCGAAAGCAAAGAAGATAATGATGAAAGGAAGAAGTATTGGTGTGACTGCTGAGTACACAAGTCCCAGCAAGAAATACAGCTGAATTCGAGGTTCTGACGAAGCAAAACCTAAGGATCCAGCATCCATTGCCTGCTCCCTGTCCGTCTCTGTCTTTACCAAGAATGTGTTCTTAAGGTGAAACATAACTAATGGAACCACCCTAAGGATCTCCGCAGCAATGCCAGCCCAACCATCAACCATTATATAAGTAATAAAGAAAGTGGCTTTCATCGGAATGGTTACGCCAATAATTTTTGGAATCCTGGAAGAAGAGTGATATGTCAAAAAGTGGACTGATAGGAAATCTAAAATGCATAACAAGACATGTAAAGTTGGATTTATTCATAGCCTGGGTGTCATATCCAGAAACTTTGTCAGTATGAAACAAAAATGAATGAAAAAACATCAAAAAGTAATGCAGGATTCTACTATGTACCAAGTACCAACAAAATACAAATATTTTTGTTGTATACTATACTATTTTTTCACCCGAAAAAGATGATAGGATTTGACCTCATGGAATCCACTCGGTGTTGACACTTTACCAACAATTCAAGAAAACTGCGGTGACTACTTTGCTTTTCTTACATATCATTATTGCTAATAAATTATAACATGTAGAAGAATTCAAGATGATCGCAATTGGAGATGCAACTTTAAAGAAGGGGGAGGGGGGGAGAGAACATGACTGCTATACGAAGTATGACAATTTGTATCACCATATTTTGGTCCCACGCTTATGGTTAACTCCTAAGATCAGAATATCTATAGCACTATATAAAATTTCAATAACAGCAAACGTAGGACAAAACTTATTGAGTTCCTTTCAAAAAAGTGGTGGAGGAAGATTGAGCCTTGAGATGCTTTTGCAAAATCAGAGTAATCCATGACCGCCAATTGAGTTAACCTATGCTTAGTTAGCAGAAAAAAGTTACCCAATAAGAATTTGAAATGACCATCCTCTTCCCATATGATTAACTGTAAACAGTGATTTACATTGCTTATATGTATAAGACCAACAATTAACTCCTATTTTTTAACTATAAAAGAAGAGTAAAATACTCTGTTGGTGGCTGATTTATAAACGTGTGGAGCTGCTCAAATGCTGCCCCTGTGATGATGCTTCCAAGAAAGACATTAACAAGAACAAACAGATGAAATTTCGCAGCTGATCTTCTCTCCAAAGATGAGAGTGATGTGAAGCCTTCTATTTTTGACATAGTCATGATAATTGTTGGAAGAAGAATAAGGAAAATCTTCAGTGCAAGCCCAGGAAGAAAACCTTGTATAAAAGACTTGACAACTTTCCTGCAACAGAAAATTCCAAGATTAAGAAGTTCAATTTCCAACAATAAAACAGCCAAAAAAAGGTAGAAAATGCAAAACCAGAATTACAAAGAAATTAAGACAAGCTAAACTAACAGAGCATTTAACAATGCAAAAAATATAGATGGTGACTTTAAAGCAATCACTTTTCCATGTTACTACTGCAAAAATGTTTTTCTATTCATCTTGTATCATATCCTTTCTATCCCCATCCCTTCCCCGGCTTTTAATGCACTTTTACTAGTAATTTAGTTGCTACTAATAAAGCATCTAACTCAAAACTAATTGACAATAAGTGCAGTGTCCCCTTAACCATTCACACAAACCTTGGGTGGTCCTAATCATTTGATGGGGGATACAAGCTCTATTGCAGTTACTATGCTCCTATCAATGACTAGTCATTGCAATGGTAGGGGTGGGAACGGGCATGAAGAGGAAGGGAAAGGAAGCGAGCAATAAGATCAATAATTAGCATGCATCATGACTGAGAACTTAGGAGTTATTCAGAATATATCAAAATCTAATCACAGAAGTTTTCAGAAATANAAACCTTGGGTGGTCCTAATCATTTGATGGGGGATACAAGCTCTATTGCAGTTACTATGCTCCTATCAATGACTAGTCATTGCAATGGTAGGGGTGGGAACGGGCATGAAGAGGAAGGGAAAGGAAGCGAGCAATAAGATCAATAATTAGCATGATGTAAAAACTGAGTAATGTTAAGAACCTCTAAAAAATGTGTCATTTTTTTATTATTCTTAATAATTAAAAAATAAACACAAATTATTATGGCATTATTGGTGATATTTGGGGATTAATAATAATTTGACTAATATTGAATTCTTTGGGATAAATACGGAAGCCTTGCATTTGGGAAACATATTTGGGTAAATTTGAGAACATGTTGAAATATAAGGTGCCTAAGACAAAAAAAATGTCCAAATGTAAGGAATTTTACTTTCATGCTCAAGAATATCTTCAATACAAATCAAAATTTTCACTTTATGTTCATTTGAGAACTTTAACCAAGTAATAACATGAACTTTGTAGGAATGCACAATTGTTGTATAAGCAAGAGAAATATACATTATAACGTCGAGATTTAGCGCTCAAAATTTCATTCATAGGTTTTAAAAAAAGAAGTGTTGTGATTATTAAAAGGAAAAACAATTACTAAGTCAAAGCAAAAAGTTCACTTACATTTCTATAACTGGCTTCAAGAAAGGAAGAACCTTCTTAATGCCATCAATATTAGCTATAGATTGGACAAATGCTATAGGAATCATAAAAAAGAAGGTAAGAAAGAATAGAGCAACAGCCATGAGCAATCTTCGGACAGTCAGTTCTACATATGGTATTGCAAGATTATCCCAATACACATCACGTGGTTCGGGAGCCCATTCTGTCAACCAAATGGTTGGATTACTCGACGGCTGAGTTTGGGCGCAAACAGCTGCTCCCCACCGGGATTTGAATGAAACAAATGCCGTCGGAACTATGGCCTTAGGATCACTTATCACCCTTTGTCTTTCTTCAGCTTCCTAAATCAAAATAGCATAACCATTCATCACTGTTACACAGAGAAATGCAATAGGTGTATGACATTTACTGCAACAGCACGATACACAACTCCAGAGAAACAAAATAATTCATGACTGTTTGAATCGAGAAAATATGCATGATTATACCAATCTTGGTTGCATGTTTTTAGAGTAGTTAAAATATTTAGACTTAGGGGTAGCTTAGTCATTTATTTTCTTTTATGTTGCCCTATCTTAGTCTGTTTGTTTTTCTTTTGCCCTACTATATAAAGACTTCTTATATGGTAGTTTTTCTTTAAGGTTGTTCTGACTAGTTATGCCTCAATAATATTTCTTTCTTCTAGTTTCTTTCTTTATTATTTGAACAACGTTTTCATGACATCAGAGGTAACATGGTTCTAATGTGAACAGTACCGAAGATACTGTGAACAATGCCAAATTCGACTGTTATGGATATTTGATTTGCAAAGTTGTTGAGCTAATTTATGGCGAACTTTGGATTGTTCTTCTTTTGGTTGTAGTTTCTGCTTTTGGCTACTGCTGGTTTGGGGCTAGTTCTGGTTTGGCTATTCTTTTGTTAATTTGGACTATTGGGCTTTCGGCTATTTGATTTAGGTATTGTTGCTTGTGGTTTTTGTTGGACAACCTCAATCCTTTGGCTTTGTTGATTTGGGTTGATACTAATTTGGGCTTCTCTCTGTTGGGCTGCTGGTTTGGCTTTTTCTCTCTTCTTTGTTGGACTTTGTTTTGTTGGACATTGTTGCTGGTGGTTTTTGTTGGACAACCCTAATCCTTTGGGTTTGTTTATATGAGCTTCTTTCTATTGGGCTGTTGGTTTGACTTTTCTTCTCTTCTTTGTTGGAATTTGTTTTGTTGGGCATTGTTGCAGGTGGTTTTTGTTGGGCAACCCCAATCCTTTGAATTTGTTGATTTGGACTTTTTTCTATTGGGTTATTGGTTTGACTTTTCTTCTCTTCTTTGTTGGGCTTTGTTTAATTGGACAATCTCAATCCTTTGGGTTTATTGATTTGAGTTTCTTTCTGTTGGGCTACTGATTTGGTTTTTCTTCTCTTCTTTGTTGGGCTTTGTTTTGTTAGGCATTATTGCTGGTGGTTTTTGTTGGACTTTGACTTTTTTTTTGGACCCCTCGTTGCTATTTGGGCCTTAATTTGTTGAGCCTACACTTGGAGTTTTTGTTGAGTTTATTATTTTTTTCCTCTAAGTCTCTGGAACTCCGTGCTTACTCTGATGCGGACTGGGCTGGTGACTCTATGGATCGCAAATCCACTACTAGTTTCTGTCTCTTCCTTGATGATTTTCTTATTTTGTGAAAAAGTAAGAAATAAACTGTTGTGGCTCGATCATCTGCTAAAGCTGAGTATAATGCTATAGCCTTCATAACAGCAAAGATAGTTTAGTTGCGTTGTCTACTTGCTGATCGTTTCTTTACGAAATCGCACACCATCTCGCACTTCCGATTTTCTTCTTAACAATCTCTTGATGTTTAATATTACCACATCATGAGTTTGAGAGAGGGTGTTAGAGTAATTAAAATATTTAGACTTAGGGATAGCTTAGTCATTTATTTTCTTTTATGCCCTAGTTTAATCTGTTTGTTTTTCTTTTGCCCTACTATATAAAGACTTCTTATATGTAGTTTTTCTTTAAGGTTGTTCTAGCTAATTATGTCTCAATAGTATTTTTTTTCTTCTAATTTCTTTCTTTATTATTTGATCAAAGTTTTCACATGTAAGCCTGTTACATTCTGTTGGAGATATAGCAACTTAGTTTATTAGGGTTTATTAAGTTTTTCTTTTTTTACCTTTTTATCCTTATTGTAACTTTCATTGACTATATATACGGGGACTCTACACTTAGTTTGTATCCCTTTTTCACTCATATCTATCTCAAGTTGCTATTAAAGCCACCAATCTTAACCCTAACCCTAGCCTCCGCCGTCCACTCTATTAAACTCAATTATACCAGACAGCCGCATAAACCACCGACCCACATACCACCGAACCAGCATATATCCACATTCCACCAACTAGTACACTCATCGGTTGCGATTTCGGCATCTTCTTCCACCGTTCACTGTGGAGGTATTAAGAGAAGGCTCCATAGCTCCGCGCTTTCGCAGCAGAGTAATTGCTTTCGCCTTCATTTATTTCCACTTATTTCGAGTGGTTAATTAAATGTGATCAGTTACAAATATATATATGAACTTGTTGCATTGATTCTTGTTTTTCATACACCGACAACCATTGATTCTAGTTTTCATACAATGTCCATATAAAACCAGTGGTAAAAAAACCACCAGCCCATTATTCATATAAAACCAGTGGTATAAAACCAGCCCACTGTCCATATGAAACCATTGGTAAAAAACCACTAGCCCATTACCATATGAAACCAGTGGTATAAAACCAGCCCATTGTTAGCCCACTGTTCATCCTTCGACCAACCCAATGCCCGAGCAGCACCCAGCTCGAGCTCAGGCAATCTCAACGCCAGTCTGTCACACCTTTGTGTTTTGCGTTCTTCGACGCAATGTCGTCATCTCTTCGAGCTACTGATTTCTTTTTCCTAGGGGTGCAGTATCTAGGACTCTTTTATCTTAGAGTTGTTTTTTNTGTCGTCATCTCTTCGAGCTACTGATTTCTTTTTCCTAGGGGTGCAGTATCTAGGACCCTTTTATCTTAGAGTTGTTTTTTTGTCACGAGTGCCCTAGTATTATTGATGATATGACTACTATTGAGGGAGTTGAGATCCCTACCGTTGAGACATTTGTTAGTACTTCCACCGGGTATTGGGGTCGACAGCGCTCGGCCCAATGCCATTAGAGCACCCCACATCAACGTAGATATGGAGATTCTCGTCAGTGTGATTATTGTAGCCGACTAGGACATCTCAAGGCTACTTGTTGGAAGCTCCATCCGCAGCTTAAGCCGCCTCCTCGTAGTCGTACTGCTGCCATTGCTAAGGCACCACCACCTATAGTCATTGCTCCTACTATTATTGCTACTGCTCCTCCTTGGCNTACAGTCTAGATGTTACCTTCCTTGAGCATATTCCTTATTTTTCTTCCAGTCCTGTGTCTGCCACTCCAGTTGATGATACTCCCTTTGATTTTCCATTACCACTAGAGTCAAAGTCATTGGTCACTATCACTACNCCTTGGCAGAGTGATATGGATGCTATCACTTCTCGCTTGGATATACTTATGTCAGCCATGACTTCTCAAGGTTTGACTACTACTGCTGCCATTACTACAGGTATACCTCGTGTCTTTCATACTTGCGCCAATCGTCTCCTCTTTGGATGCTGAACTCGAGTGCTAATGGTCATATGACAGGTAAGGCACATCATTTCACCTCTTTTGACCGGCAATTACATTCTCAAGTTCAGTTAGCAGATGATACACATGCCCCTATTGTTAGTAGGGGTACAGTCCGCCTCCCAAATGGCTTTACATTACGTTCGGTGTTTCATGCGCCAAAGCTAGCCATGAATCTATTATCTGTACATCAGTTAGCCAGAGATTTTCACTGTGCAGTTGTGTTCTTATCTGATTCGTGTTATTTGCAAGACCTGAGTACCAGGAGGATTATTATCAGGGGACATGAGAGAGATGGATTGTATTATTTAGGCAATCCACCTCCCATTTCACCAGTTTCTCTACCTCCACCTCTATCTCCATCACCTGTTTTTTCTTTATCTGTTCCTAGCTTACATGCTAGTATTTTACCTAATACTTGTTGTTATGATTTTTCATCACAAACTGTGCAGTTGTGGCATGACCGTTTTGGGCGTACAAATTTTAAATATTTATGTATGTTATTTCCTGCTTTGAACAAAGCTTATGTTAGTGGTAAACTTGACTGTGTTATATGTTCCCTATCAAAACATGTTCGGACCAGTTATATTCCTCGCATGCACCAGTCACCCATACCATTTGATCTAATATACTCGGATATTTGGGGACCCTTTCCTGTTACTGCTCTGTCAAGTGCCCGATACTATGTGACATTTATAGATGATCATACCTGTTGTACTTGGGTCTACCTTTTGCATAGGAAGTCTGATGTACTCCCTGTCATTACTTAATTTCTTCAGATGATTAAGACACAGTTCGATGTCATTGTTCGTGTTCTTCGTTCGGATAATGCCAAAGAATATGTGTCTGATGCCTTAGTGTCTCACCTTTCTTCTCAGGGTATCCTTCAGTAGCTCACTTGTCCATATATTCCTATGCAAAATGGAGTTGCTGAAAGGAAAAATAGGAGTCTGATAGGGATGGTAGTTATATGCTTAAAGGTATGGGGGTACTAAAATCTTATTAACATTTTGCTGTTTTAACTTCTACCTTTTTGTGCAATCATACACCGAGTCGTGTTCTTCAACATAGGGCTCCCTTACAGGTCTTATTCCCTGAGCAGACACTTTTTTCAGTCCCCCCTCGTGTTTTTGGTTGTACATGTTTTGTTCAAGATCGGTCTCCTACTCGTCATAAGCTTGATGATAAAGCGATTCGTTGTGTCTTTGTGGGCTATTGTCATTAGTCTAAGGGGTATCGGTGTTATGATCCTGTCAGGCGACGTATGTATTACAGTCTAGATGTTACCTTCCTTGAGCATATTCTTTATTTTTCTTCCAGTCCTGTGTCTGCCACTCCAGTTGATGATACTCCCTTTGATTTTCCATTACCACTAGAGTCATCAGTCTCTCCTCCTCCAGAGTCACTCATCCCTGTCAGTACAGAGTCACCAGTCTCTCTTCCTTTGCTGGTTTATGTTCGTCGTCCTTACTCTCATCCCCCTGCTGATGTCCCCTCTATCTCACGCGATGCTGGTAATATTTCTCAGTTCGTTGAGCATATTGATGCACCTGTTGTTAGTACTGATGAGATTACAAGTACTGAGCCAGTTGTTTTACCTGATGAGACATTATCAGTGGAGGATGTTGATTTAGGGCATCGTTATCCGCGGCGTAATCGTCGTCCAGTTATTCGTTATGGTTGGACCACCAAGATTTTATATCCGATCTCTACTTATATTTCTTATGGTGATCTGCCTCCTACATTTCGAGCTTATAGTATGGCCTTATCAGATACGCCGGTTCCTCGCTCTGTTTCAGAGACTGGGCAAGAGCCCCAGTGGGTTCTTGCCATGCAGACAGAGATAGACGCTCTTCAGCGTAATCATACGTGGGATCTTGTCTCTTTACCTTCAGGAGTGAAGCCTATTGGCTGTCGCTGGTTTACACCCTGAAGTTTCTTGCGGATGGTATTATTGATCGTCACAAGGCTAGGCTTGTGGCGAAGGGCTTTACTCAGGTACTAGGTCGTGATTTTGGTGTTACCTTTGCTCCTGTAGCAAAAATGACTACTGTTCGACTGATTATTTCTTTGGCTGCGGAATACTCTTGGTCTCTTCATCAATTAGATGTGAAGAATACATTTCTTCACGGTGATCTGGACAAGATTATTTATATGGATGCACCACCGGAATTTCGTGGTGAGGGGGAATATGCTGGAAAGGTTTGTCGATTGCGTAAGTCTCTTTATGGACTGAAACAGTCACCACGAGCATGGTTCTCCCGCTTTAGTGATGTAGCTATACATTTAGGGTTCACCAGATGTCATTCAGATCATACCTGCTTCATTCAACGGAATACTTCCGGACAGTATGTCATCCTTTTGGTATATGTTGATGATATTATTATTACTGGAGATGATGTTTCTGGGACTGCGCAGGTTAAGGTAGACCTTGGTAAGGCCTTCGATGTGAAGGATCTTGAAATTTTGCAATACTTTCTTGAGATTGAGGTTGCCCGTAGTAGCAGAGGTATTATTCTTTCTCAGAGAAAATATGTTCTGGATCTTCTCTCAGATACTGGGATGCTGGGGTGCAAACTGACATCATCACCCATGATTCCAAATCTGAAGCTTACTGCTGAAGGTGAGGAGTTGGGAGATCCGACTGTCGATCAGAGGTTGGTAGGTAGAGTTATCTACCTAGCCAACACTAGGCCAGACATTTCATTCGTTGTCAGCCAAGTTAGTCAGTTCATGCACAGACCATGTCAGCCTCATCTTGATGCAGTTTATCATATTCTTCGGTACCTCAAGTCTTGCCCTAGACTTGGGTTGTTTTATGCATCAGGATCTCAGATTGGTTCTCTATCCTGTTATTCAAATTTAGATTATGGGAAAGCATGTGACGGTCGATCTACTACGGGCTTCTGTGCTTTTCGAGGGACTCATCTTATCTCTTAGAAGAGCAAGAAGCAGTCAGTTGTCTCTCACTCGTCAGCAAAGGCAGAGTATCAGGCACCGGCATATGGCACATGTGAGTTTATTTGGCTACGATCGATTCTTAGCAAGTTGGGACTTCCAATGACTTCTTCATCTACATTATATTGTGATAATCGATCTACTATTCAGCTCGCTTCTGACTCTGTATTACACGAGAGGACGAAGCATATAGAAATCGATGTTCACTTTTTTCGGGAGAAGGTTAGCAGTGATATTGTCACTCTATCGTTTGTGGGGACTAGTGATCAGATTGTAGATATTTTCACCAAACCTGTCACTCTATCCATTCTTCGGGACTCAATTGTCAAGCTTGGCTTAGTTGATATTTTTGCGCCTAACTTGAGGGGGAGTGTTGGAGATATGCAGCTTAGTTTATTAGGGTTATTAAGTGTACCCTTTTTTACCTTTTTATCCTTATTGTAACTTTCATTGGCTAAATATACGGGGGCTCTACACTTAGTTTGTATCCATTTTTCACTCATATCTATCTCAAGTCATTCATCAGTCATCACTATTATACAGAGAAACACAATAGATGCATAACATTTACCGCAATAGCACAGCACACAACTCTAGAGAAACAAAATAATTCACAACTGTTTCAATGGGGAAAATCTACATGACACCAATGTTAGTTGCACGAGCTTCCCTATTGTAGTCATGTAATTGGCAGCTAGCATTTCCTATCCTATTAGCTAGTTTGACTTCCTCTAGTAGCAGTGCCCTATTTTCTATTTCTATTATTTACGTCACATAATAGTCCGGTCTTCCTTTCTATAGGGAGGCAACTTGCTTTCTTTCTTGAACTTGTAGTGGCACAAGGCAGAGTTTTTTTCAGGTAGCTCTATGTTACTACGGTTGGTTCCAAAAGAAAGGACTTCCCCCTGGGGCAACTTGCTACTTTAGGGTTAGCACAAGCTAGAACAAATAAGAAAAAATGAGATCTAACTAGGTGGTTGTTCCAAGAAGCTAAGATGCTGCTATCGACGAGCTGAGGAGAGAGCAAGAGCTACTACCTATTCTCCTAAAGGGTGAATTTGTAATATGTCCTCTTTTTATTTGTCCGTCCTCTTTCTTACTCGGACTCCTAATTAGCATCCAACAGATCAATTCAATTTGAGGAGAATCTGTTATAGTTCTTGTTCACCATGTTACAGCAAGGCCTTTAGATTGAAGTGTAACAATTGGTATATGCCAGAGTTTGATTGGCTTCAGGTGAGGTGGTATAACATCAACCCAAATAGTGTAATGGCATCCCAGTCCAAAAATTGTATATCCCACAACAAAGATGATAGAGAAAGAAACAAAAAGAACAAAACAAAAGTTTCCAGATACATATAACCAACAATGCCTTTTGTACCTCTGATAAAAGGAGCACCATTTGTAGTTTGTATGCAAAGAAGCTTTACAATTATCCCACAACCCAGCAAAGAAATATTAAAAAAAAAAAGTTACAGAATTACCATTTATGACAAACCTACAATGGCAAGTGATAAGAAAAATCTAGAATTTCAGGAGCCCGTGGAACATCAAAGGCACTGGTAGTCCAAGTGAACCCACCTCGTGCTGGTATTTAATTGAACTAATTGTATGAGAACTGTTCTTGCAAAGTCTGAAGAGGTGAAATGATGTAGACCATGCCCCTTGCCTCCACCCCTCAAAAGTTATACATGTAAAGAGTTGTACACATAATATGACTTTAACTTCTAACTCCCTCCTCCCCCAGGCAGGCTTGCATGAACAGATATCTTCAAATCAGATGTAGTCATGTAGAATAGTAACCAACCCAAAGGTGCACCATATTTAATATGCACATTTTTAATTTGCATGCAACGAAGCTTTACAATCATCCCACATCCCAACAAAGAGATGACAAAAAAACGTTAAATAATGACCATCTTTGACAAAATCATGATGACAATCAATATGAAAACAACTAGAATTTCAAGAGCCCATGGAACATTGAAGGCGCTTTTAGTCCAGGTGATACTTATTTCTTCTCCACGAGCGAGTAAGAAATATGAACTCACAATCTCACATTTTTTTAGTTAAACTAAGGGTATTGTTCTAGCAAAGTCTGAAGAGAGGAAAAGATGCTGGACCATGATTTGTATACAAAATATGACTGTAACCCTAACTTTTAATTTCCCTCCTCCCCAAGGCAGTCTTGCATGGATGGACTGTCTAAAATCAAATTTAGAATAGTAACCAACCCAAACGGGGCCATAATACTTCAGCCTGATGGCCTAAACAACAAACTTATCAACTTTGATTAGGACATGAACAGGTGGATGCACCAACAAATAAATGATAAGGTCCCAAAGCATACTTTTTTAATGAGATACCCTCAGTTGACAAGGCCAAAGTCAGAGTAAAAGATAGCTTGGAACTATATATACTTACTTCTTCACTCAACTTGTCAATTTCAGCTGTATAGTAGTCAATAGCATCCACAGTCGTTCCCCAGAGACCACAGAAACCTGTCTATAGGTAACTGAATATGAGATGATGAACTGAAGTGTTGAAAATTATTGTTAGTATTACACGACAGAGGAACATTTAACTTAGATTGATTATATGAGAGAAATAAGAAGATCAATCAAAAATCAAATTTAAAGCTTTATGATGTGGGGACAAATACCTTAGTTGTTGGTTTTTTTGTAGAGTTTCGCTCATATTTGTTTTGGTAGTAGACAAGCCAATTTTGCAAACTCTTCCTCGTTGCCACCAATTTTGCAAGTTTACTTGCATTATATACAACCTACAGTTTCAGAATTATAAAGCTAGGGTAACAATATGAACTTAAATCCAAGATAAACAAGAAACTTTCAAATTTTAATCCAATGTAAAAAGGAATGGGGACTTTCCATCAACATTTATTTTCCATTCTATATAGTACAGTCAGTACTCAACAGCACCGTAACTACAATAAGTTAATGAAGGTACAAACCTGATGTGTAAGATAATGATCCGGATGATTTACACAAAAGAAATGTTCGACATGCTCACTAACTGATTCATCAGGATCTGGAGGAACATTTCTCACAAGTACCTGCAAAAGCAATTGCAATTGACAACTAGCTTGGTAAAACAATGAGAAAGTACATAATATAGGGTAACCCATGCTTACACAAGCATATATTGCTAGATGGGGGGAATATGGTATCTAGATTTGCAATCCTCATCAAATTAGAAGCTGGAATTAAATTTCTATTAGTTACTACAAAAAACTTTTAACAGGAAGAATAATATCAAAGCAACAGATATCAACCAATTAGTTGGTTTCTTTGGATGTGTTATGAGTCTTATGACCGAGGAGAGCAGCCTGCCTGCACCTTGTGACAGACAAACTGAAGCTAAAATTTAGAAGTATTTCTGTTCTAAGACTTCATAAGATTGGTCAATAATGATGAAGATAAGTAAGGAAGTGTACTAAAATGACCGAGTCCATAGATATACAAATGCCAAACTTAAGAAAGATACAAGAAACTTCAGTACAGATTCCTCTATTAAGGTTTCATCAAATACAGGTGAGTTGCAAAGTCTTCATGCTTTGCAAGGAAAAAACTGCAGATTGGAGAGGCAGGGTGTAAAAAGGCTTGTAACCAATTGTGTTTAACACATCTAATGAAAATATAGAAATAGAAAATGAAGTTTAGCTTACAAGATAAGTAGAAATGGAAAATGACATGTACTTCAAGCAAATGCTCCTTTATACTCCTATGAAAATAGATAATATAGTAGTGCTGCAATCAGATTGCACGGATGGGCACTATATATATTTATATATATACTGTGTCTGTGTGTGCGAGGGAGAGCAGGAGATCTAGATCATTCTCCATCCTTGCCAATGAATATATCATGCAGAAATTAGATCAGTGTAACAAAGGAACACATTGTTCTATGGAACTTTTCCTTTTGAGCAAACAGGGTATTTCAGAACAGTTTGGTGGTTAAAAAGCACATGAGTCGCAAAGGTATTTATATCTACCATGAAAAGCCTTGAGCACTGTGTGTAGTCACAACCAAGATGTGTGGAAATCCAGACAAATGAGGCGGCAGTTGAATGACTGTCTCATATAATATTATATTCATGAGTTTGTTCAAAGTGATTTCCTGACACACATAATACTTAGGACAGCGGAGCTCTAGCCGTCTAAATGAAAGGTCATTCCAGTCGAAGATGCCACACTTTATTTCAAAGCATCCAGAAATTTGATGCAACGTCAAGTTCTAAACCTCCATTGAAAATGGAGAAAGTAAGAAACGAAATGGACGCTCAACTTCATTTCACATAACTTTCCTCTCTTATGACATGTTAGATAGTATATAGTTGATATGACATCATGTTGACTCATATTTTATTATTTTTGTACATGATCTCATTTTGCATTTTTGACTGCAACATGATCTTTTGAAGGCATGGTGTCTTCTTAAAACCAAACCAGATTCAATTATTACCCAAAGGATCAATCAACCACAGTTTCAATTAATATCCAAAGGATTAATCAATCGCCCATGTTCGGAACAAATTACTACTGTCTGATAACATGCAACCATCAAAAAGATTGCAGATCACTGAAACTTTCTGAACACGAACTGCCAGACATAAGTGACTTATAAAAGACACCTGCAATGCACAAGATTGTATTATTGAGATAATAGCATGATTGACAAACTCACAGTGAATTGATCTGGACGACGATTTGCAGAAGCTAGAAAATGCAACCTCATATTAGCTATGATCCTGTACTCCTTGTACAGAACATAACATGTCCAAAAGGTGAAGATATATTCCATTACTAAATGAGCCCAAAACCTGAGGGGAAAAGGGAATAAGTTGTGACCTTAGTAACAAGTATAGACCAGCAAAATTGTTGGAATAACATATGCATAAACTAATCAAAGGACCTATTCATAATACAAAACGAGGAAGCACAAGCATACTAAAATCATATGTGCAGAAAACCCTAAACATTGTGATGATTTAGAATTTGTAACTCTTGTATACAATAACCTAAATCCGGACATTCCTGGGGTTGCATGCTGGTGAAATAAGAGAAACAGGTGCACTGTAAAGGGTTCTTATTGTAAACTTTGATAAAAGCAAAGAGAGAAAGAGAAGAGACAATAGAGAATAATTGTATTACAGCATAATAAAAAAATGCATACAAAAGGCCCTTATATAGTAGGGCAACATAAAAGAATAAAAGGACTAAACTACCCTTAAGATTAAATATTCTAACTACTCTAACACCCTCCCTCAAACTCACGATGTGCTAGCAAAAAACATCAAGAATTTGCCACGAAGAAAACGAAAGCAAATAATAGTATGCGATTTTGTGAAAAAATCTGCTAACTTCATAGTGGAAGAAAGAAAAGGGAGGGGGATAGTGCCCAGCTGAAGTTGATGACGCACAAAGTGACAATCAATTTCAATATGCTTTGTGCGCTCATGAAAGACTGAGTTATGAGCAATCTAAATAACACTAGTATTGTCACAATACATAGAAGTCGGCGCAGGTAACATGATGCCAAGATCAGGAAGGAGCCATCGTAACCAAACTATCTCAGCTACGGTAGATGTCATAACACGATATTCAGCTTCAGCAGATGAACGAGAAACAACAGTTTGCTTCTTGCTTTTCCAAGAAATAAGAGAATCACCAAGGAAAATACAAAAACCCATAGTGGACTTACGGTCCATAGAGTCACCAGCCCAGTCAGCATCAGAATAAGCCTTGAGTTCCATAGAAGAAGAGGAGGAGAATAACAAACTCTGGTGCGGAGTACCTCGAAGATACCGAAGAATACAAAGAATCGCAGCCCAGTAAACAGTGGTGGGTGAGGCAACAAATTGGCTAACAATATGAACAGCATAGGAGATATCCGCATAAGTGACTGTAAGATATACTAAACTCCCAACAATAGCACGATAGTGCATAGGGTCAGATAGGGGAGTATCATCAAAAGAAGAGTAACGAACATTGAACTCTAAAAGTGTTTCAACTATCCGATTATCTGATAAACGAGCTCGTTGAATAACATCTGAAGCATACTTGGACTGAGATAGAAGATATCTTTAGGAGATGATGTAATCTTAATACCCAAGAAATATCTAAGCTACCCCAAATCTTTCATCTCAAAATAGTCCTGCAACTGAATTTTTAATAAACATATGCCAGCAGTGTCATCACCCATAATAATCATATTATCAACATATAATAAGAGAATAATAGAACCTGAGAAAGTAAACCGTAAAAGATATCAGAATCATGGTCACTGGCGCGAAAACTCAAATCACAAATAACTGAAGAAAATTTGGCAAATCATGCCCTAGGAGCCTGTTTAAGGCCATATAAAGCTCAGTAAAGTCGACATACTTGACCAGGACTATGAGACAATCCAGGAGGAGCNCAGTGTCATCACCCATAATAATCATATTATCAACATATAATAAGAGAATAATAGAACCTGAGAAAGTAAACCGTAAAAGATATCAGAATCATGGTCACTGGCACAAAAACTCAAATCACAAATAACTGAAGAAAATTTGGCAAATCATGCCCTAGGAGCCTGTTTAAGGCCATATAAAGCTCAGTAAAGTCGACATACTTGACCAGGACTATGAGACAATCCAGGAGGAGCAGTCATAAAAACCTCTTCACTTAAATCTCCATGAAAAAATGCATTTTTCACATCCATCTGAGACAAATTCCATTGGTGAATAGCAGCAACTGCAATCACAGTGCGAACAGTGGTCATCTTTACAACAGGGGCAAAAGTCTCATCATAGTCTATACCATACTCCTGAGCCAAACCCTTGGCTACTAATCGAGCTTTATACCTTTCCACAGAACCCTCAGACTTGGTTTTTATCTTATAAATCCACCTACAACCAGTGGGACATTTACCAGGTGGTAAAGGCACTAGTTCCCAAGCTCTGGTCTTATGTAAGACAGACAACTCCTCTTCCATAGCCTGTTTCCAAAGTGGATCAAGTAAAGCCTCCTTGTAGGAGGTGGGTTCAGATAAAGAGTAAATAGAAGTAACGAAAGAACAAAAGTCAAGAGAATAACAAGTGTTACTCCAACCAAACCTATCTGGACATTTGCGAGAGCGCTGAGGATAGCGCAGGGTATGATCCACATTGTCTAAACCTGATTGGGTGGCAGGAGAAGAAAGGAGAGACACCACATCTGTAGAGGAGATAGCTAAATTCCTACGAACATATGTATGAACAATAGGGGGACGAGTGATAGGTACATCAGAAACAGTTATATCACCAACATAAGTGTCAGAGGGAACATCAGCCGGAAATGGGTCAATATAAATGAGATCAGATTTATGCAAATAAAAAGAACTAGATGGAATAAAAAATAAAGGAATATGCTCCATGAAAATAATATGACGAGAGACATAGAGTTTGTGTGAAACAGGATCATAGCAACGATACCCCTTTTAACCCTCACTATAACCAAGGAAAACACATAAAGCTGAACGAGCAGAGAGCTTAGTACGAAGAACACTAGGAAGCAAAACAAAACAGGTGCACCCAAATACACGCAAAGAGAAATAATTAGATGGCTTACCACATAGTTTTTCAAATGGAGAAATTCCAGAGGTGATGACAGTGGGAATAGAATTAATCAGATGGACTGCAGTAAGAACTGCTTACCCCCAAAAAGAAATTGAGACATTTGCTGACAGTAAGAGAGAGCGTGTTGTCTCCATAATATGTCGGTGTTTGCGCCCTGCTACACCATTCTATTCAGGTATATCAGTACAAGAAGATTGTCAAACAGTACCATCAAATTTTAATAGATCACGAAAAGAGTTGAAAGAATATTCTCCTCCTTGGTCACATCGAAAACATTTAATAACTGATGAATATTGAGTACGTATCATAGCGCGAAAAGCAGTGAATACAGAAAATAATTCAGAACGATATTTCATGAGATAAACCCAACAAAACCTAGTATAATCATCAATGAAAGAGACATAATATTTTAACCCTCCTTTTGTGGGAATAGGAGCCGGTCCCCAAACATTAGAATGAACCAGATCAAAATGTGCAAGTGAACTAGTAGAACTTTTATTAAAAGGTACTGCAGTAAATTTAGTTAACTTGCATCCACTACAACTGGAAATATCATGACACTCTAAATTACCCAAATTCCCAGTAGAGGCTAAAAATTTTAAACGAGAGTGGGATACATGACCAAGACGAGAATGTCATAAATAGAAACTAGAAGACTGTGGGCTTAAATGAAAAGAAGATATATCAACAATAAAAGCAATAATGTCAGGAATATGTAACTCGTCTAACAAATACACTCCTCCCTTTCTACTGCCTGTCCCAATCAGTTTCTTGGAACGTAGATCCTGTACAATACAACCAGAAGAGAAAAAATGAACTGAAAATCCAGAGTCAAATAGCTGACTAACTGAAATTAAATTTATGGTAAGCTATGGAATATAATAAACATCAGGAAGTGTTAGATGCGGAGAAATTATAGATCCAACACCAGCCAATGACATTTATGTACCATTAGCTGCAAGCACAGAAACAGATGGAGGAGAAAAAGTAGATGCAAATAAGAAAAAATCACTAGGTATATGATGGGTAGCACCTGAGTCAAAGACCCAGGCGGTTCGAGATATACTTGAAGGACCCGAAGTGAACGAACCTATAGAAGGTGAGATGGAGAGAGTATTAGGCTGTTGAAGGAGCTCCTACATTTGATCAACAATCTTAGTTAATTTTAAACTAATTGACAGATGAGAGCCAGACTTGTCGCTCGCCATAATTGTCACTAGCCAAAAATAATAACATTCAAATTAACGAAACCAATTTCAAATCACCAAACCCAACTGAAGTTCAAAGGCCCAGCAAGAATAGAAGCCAAACTGACCCAACAATTACAGCCCAATGGAAAATCAAAGTCCCAACCGGAGAACAATAGTCAATCAATCTGTTGGAACAATAGCCAATCAATCAATCCAACAACCCAAACAACAAATATCAAACAACCCAATAGCCCAAAGTAATAAAGAACAACAAAATTCCAGCTCAGCCCAAACTATCAATAACTGCAATCACAACCCAGCGAACAGGAGCAACGAACAGACCCAGAGCAGAACAATAGCAACGAACAGCGACAAAACCAAGCAGGCAACAAAGTCTTCCAGCAAACCAAGGAGAGAAGAATATTCAAAACCAGTAACAACGAAGCAACAGAGCAATAACCGAAGGAAAAATTCTGCACAAGCTCACAACCTGCATGGGCCACCAATCGCTCACACCTCACACCCACAACTAACAAACCAACAATTAACAAACCAAAGAGCAGCAGCAGACAAGGTAGGAAGATGGCGTGAGCAGCAGAAGGCAGAAGCCAAAGAAAAAGTGATAAACTAGTTGCTACAGTGTTTGCCGAAGGAGGAAATCAACCAAAAATCTCATTCCTTTGCATCAAAAAACCAGTTCAAAATGCTTCAAAGCATCCAATCGAACACCAAGGAGGCAATATACCAAAAAAAAAGGCACTAAAAATCGAAATTCGGCACTGTTCACAGCATGAACAGTGTTTTTGGCACTGTTCACAGCCCTTTAGAACCACAAATAGCAACCCATCTATCGCTAACCCTCAAATCACACAACCCAAGAATATATTCATCCAACTAAATTACTGTGGTGCTACAATACATATTTTGGATCAAAATCATGCTCTGATACCATGTAAACTTTGATAAAAGTAAAGAGAGAAAGAGAAGAGACAATAGAGAATAATTGTATTACAGCATAATAGAAAAATGCATACAAAAGGCCCTTATATAGTAGGGCAACATAAAAGAATAAAATGACTAAACTACCCTTAGGATTAAATATTCTAACTACTCTAACACTTATTAGGGTCATTACCCAGTTTAGTCTCTATTAGTCGAAGATACTAGAGGTGGCGGATTGTGGATATACCTAACCTATGGCATTATTTGCACAAAATGAAAACTGACAATTAAAATTCAAAACCTCATAGTTGTACGCCCAACACTATCAGCATTGCATCTCAGGAAAAGTGAAGAAAAGGGGGAAAAAAGAAAGAAAAGGATGCTTCTTAATTTCAAAGAAACATAATGATAATTCACAATCAAAACTTTGTCAGTGAAATTAACATTCTTTTAACAAAATAATAGAAGTTATTGCATCTTTATAGTGATGATAGTTGGAATGAGTCAAATGACACGTGCAAGAAAAAGATTCTTGCTCACCTTTTTGATCCAGAAGGAACGTTGGATATTGATAGCTTGTCAATGTCACTGAATGTTAAGTCCTTAATATTCTCTAATGTTTGCCCTGTCCAATTGACAGGCACCAACACCGCAAAAGCAAGCGCAGTTATGGGGACAAATATTTTCAGGCTGCACCAGAAGTTTCAAGTTAAATGATGTGCATAAAACCTACAAATCATCTAAAATTATGCACATTATGCACTTATCAACGTATTTCCCTCCTTGATGAAAATGAAGCACAAAAGCATAACATGGAAATGCAAATAATTGACCTCTAAACCATCATTGCAGTATGGTACAAAGAAGAAATGCGAGTAAGCTGGAAAACTGAATCTTAAAAACTCACCCAAGAAGGTAAATCCGAATATATACAGCAGAATCTAGCCCTGCATGCTCTATAAGCTCAGGTTCTGGCATTCTTAATGCTGCGGGCATCCAATTCAAGAATTTTATGTACATTTTGAAGTCCAAGTTGACAAATTTCTTTACAAAAGCTCCAGCACTTGTCGGGCTTGCTCTTATTCCCTTCAGGTACCATTTTGGGAAGTAAACTCTATCATTAAATGGTTGAAGCCGTAACATTGCAAAGGCCACAAGGAATGCCAATGCAGACAGAATATTAAAAGCAGCTGAAACACTGATATCTTGAAGGCTAGCCATATTCTTTCTTGAAGATCAACAACCACCTACAATTTGATGGGAAATAGGTGAGACATGTTTTGATGAATAATAACCAGCAAACAACTAACATAGTTGAACACAAAAAACATCAATTTATTATTTCCAAGTGAATTGAAATATATGTCAATTGTCATTATCTGCTCATCGTAAATAGGATATAATCCCTACTACAATGCACAGAGTGAATGAAAAGAATTTCCACTATAATAGCCTTTTGTTTGTAATGTACTCTTTGCTCAATGATTAGTCGATTGGTCGGATCGATTGGAATGGTGTTATTCTTCTTGTTTTCTTAGGCAGGCATGTATCTTTAAAGAGACGAGCAGAAAAATAAAGAGAATTGCATAATAATTGCAATTGGTTTTCACTTTGTTATTGTTCTTGCATTACATATCCTTGTTCGTATCTAGGCCTAAAAAGATAATAGCAGAGAAAATACATCTTTGATCAAAAACATTCTTTAGTTAGTCAACTACAAGAATCTCCATCTTAAGCTACGAAACAGAAAAAAGAAAGAAATGAAACCTTACCGCAGCTAAACCAAAGGGACGTCGGAGCCAAGATTTTCGATTTACCCAGTCCCACACAACGGAACGATCATACAGTTTCTTTGTATATGTGTGGGCCTAAGACGATCATACAGAGAAACTTCATCAGAATCAAAAACATTCTTTTCAGCAATCTTCAAGAATCTCTATCTTGAGCTAATATATTCATATGCATGTATAAAATAAACAAACAAACGAGGAAAAAAAACAGATGAAAGAAAGAACGAAGGAAAGAATAGGACAATACTCAAACCTCCAAAAAATATTTTGGCTAACTAAAAAAACAGAGGAAAACCTTGTTTTGGTTGCTTTTGTTTCCTGAAAACGTACCAGAACCAAATCAAAGGAACGGTTGAGCCGAGATTCTTGAATTTTGAGATCTGAAACTTTCTTTCGTTTCTGTTCTCGGCAACTAGGAAACGAGAAAAACAGAGCAAACAGGCCTTCTTGGATTGAAACAGGCGAAAACTTGAAGAAATAACGTAATGTGGTAAAGAAAAGATCGATTGAAAGCCTCCTGTGTTACAAAGATCTGAAACTTTCTTTAGATTGTTTTCTCAGCAACCAAAAAGCGAGAAAAACAGAGCAAACACCTCGGTAGAAACGCCCTCTTGGATTGAAACAATCGAAAGCTAGGGAAAAACTGTGGAAGCAAAGATCGTTTCAGAGCTATAGGGTTTTGTTCAGTTTGATTTGAGAAGGTGAGAGAGACGGAGAGAGAGAGATGAGAGAGGGCGGCAACGAGCTCGCTCGGAACCGTATTTCCATGCGCGACAATAAGCGTGTTATGATAGTTGCAACGTTAATCTGATAGTATAAGACAGATGGGGACAATATTTTTGAATGATGCAATGACGAAACTACCCTCTATATAAGATGTGTTAATCCTTTCTGTCCATTTATATGACCATAAATCTGGATGGTTTCTTTTTGATTAAATAAAATAATCTATTTAGTATTACAATTTAGAAGTTAAATTCTTAATTTATAAAAATATAATAATAGTTAAAATTAATTTAATATTAAGACAACTCAATTAACACTCTCTTTAATATTAGACAATCCACTAATCTACACCTACCTCTCTCTTATCTTTCTCTTACCTATCTTATTTTCTCTTTATTTACTTAAATTTTAAATTATATAATTAAATAAAAAATAAATTGATATTTAATATATAAATATTACACAATTAATACCTAATTTTTAGTATTACACAAAGTATCTTCAGGCACGAAAGTATTGCTAATAAGACTGTAATAATAGTGGTTTTTATATTATTAAAGATGGTATCAATAATAAATATTACAAGTGGAAGCAATTTTAAACTCATTTAAAGAAATTGATTCTCAAATTGGTACACTTAAATTTTTTATTAACTTATCCCATTACATAAAATTCTAAATGGAAATGTGATAATTACTATCGAACAAATCAAAGTCCCATTATCATGGATAGATTCGGTGTAAGATCCATCATCTTTAGCACACATTCATTTCATTTCGTTCCGTTCAAAAATTATCATCAATTGTTATTTCATAAGTAATTTTTTTTTTTAATAGTTACGAGTGTCTGAATCAATTTACACACACTTTAATTAATCTCTTTATAAGTTCAGTCAAAAACAAGTAATCCACGTTGGGACTAAAATATATACGAGGGATAAATTTTTCATAGCCTACCCACTAGGAGTTGTCGAACTGACGACCTCTAAGTTTAAAGCTTGTTTATGATACCATTTGAACTATCTTCGAGATTAAATATTAAATTTTATCTCAAAACATGTTGAAGCATTGGCCACCTACATGAAATTACACCAAGGTGCCAATATGAATGGGATTCTTAAATTATGTACTTAAAAAAATAACTTATTTAGTTCAGACAAGACAATCATTGAAGACAAAGAATGGGATTTTATTATGGATCAGGCAATCTGTACTTAAGTGGTTGGTAATGTGGAATTTGTAATGACCTTTAAAATCCTTCCATTTGTCACATACTCCCTCTAACAGGAAATACCTGCAATTTAAGCACCGAAGATTAAAAAAAAGAAGAAGGAGAAGGAGGTTCATAATTTGTATTTTACATAATTTTTTTATTATTAAGGTGAAAATTGGTAAATGATTAATCCAACATGGCAACCACTTGTCCACACAAACTGTGCAGCTGATATTAAAAACACCAAAAAGAAATTAGATTTTAGAGTGTGTTAATGCTGTTTAGATTATGTTTCAAAAACAGTTTTATTTTTCTTAAAAATAATTTGTGGTTAGGGATGTCGTTTGGTTAGAATTTTCAAAAATAATTTTTCAAAAAAAGTGAGAATTGAGAACAACAAAGGCCCCAAGTTTTTTTCTTTCGTCCGCCTCTCTCTCTCTCTCTCTCAGCATATATATATATGTGTGTGTGGGGGGGGGGGTGTGTGGGAGAGAGAGAGAGATGGGAACTAAGATTAAAATTAAGGGTTTTATGAATTATTGTCCAAACATGTTTTATAATTTTTTGTTATTTAAAACTATTTTTAAAAATATATCACTAAACAAGTTTTACAATTTAAAAATTTTTAAAAATACTTTCTTAAAACTTTTCTTAAAAAATATTTTCGAATATTATTTTTTGATATGCAATTCAAACACGTTCATAGTTTGTGACTTTATTATAAGGAATGCATTATTTTAGTTGGAAAAAAAAAACTCCAAATTTGTAATGGTTTCGATATTTCTATTTGGGATCATTTCTTAAATTAGTAGTGACAAATGGGAAAGTTAAGCGGGCTACACGTAAGTCAAATAGGGTTGGACGTAGTTTAATGTAGTATAATGTCGATGCACTTTTCAATTAGGCCTTTATGATGTAAATTTATATTCATAAGACGAGAATTTTTGGTTGGATTGATTTTTTTTTTATTTAGCATCTTTTATACGTACGAAACGCTATAGAACAATTGCATACATCCTAATAATGAATAGAAGTTACCTTGTCACTTATGTAACATAAATCTAATATTTGTAACGAAAATTATAACCAAAAAATTGCAGCGACAACACATTGCTCAACATTAATTAGTTGAATTTTAAAATTGTGAGTTCGAATCTCATTGTCTATGTATTAGTGTTTGGCTAAAAGAATCTATCTATCTATATATATATATAACAAACAAATCAGAGGGTAGAAAGTATGGAAAGTTTTCCGTCCACATGTCTTAATTTCCTAGAGTTTTAACTTTTTTTAATTACTAAACCGATGTTTTTGTCAATCACTATTCAACACTTAACACCTATAATCAATCTTTCACTCTCTCACCAACTAATCATCTTTTGTTTGAATTTTCTTTAAAAAATTAGTTTTTATCCTGTATAAATTTCCATGAATTTTGAAAATTTCTATTAATTAATAAAGGTAAATATAAAAATACAGGGTGAAGGATTAGGAAGGAGAAATGAAAAAAAAAGAAGAGTGTGTTGAATGCAAACCTTAGTGTCCTTAGATGGGCCCTAATACAGATATATGCAAACCTTAGTACAAAAATCTGGGATGGGCTATTCATGGCAAAGCCCGTATATGAATCAAATAAGCTGAATTATATTGCTACGGGGGCCCATAGTTATACATTGGGTTTAAAAAGGGCCGTTACGAATTTGACGCCGTTAATTTTTAATAACAGGAATTTAGGATGGATAATGTTACACCGAATAAAAAAAAGGAACGAAAATTTGAATTAAATTATGTGATATTATCATAATGAGAATAATTTTAAATTTTAAATGTGTATAAATAGAATCAACAATATCATTATTGTTATATCTAATCCATTTATTATTTATATTAATAAATCGTGTTATATATAATATTTTTTTTATTTATAAAAGAGATGGATGATGAGGTTGGAACGTTAAGGTCGAAAATTAAATATACTCATGTCAATAAACTAGATCAAGCGGTAAGCAGTAATGTCACGTGCTATGTTCGCTATATCCAAGTAGGGAGATCTAGATTCGAATAATCCGCACGGAGCGTACGCTAGTCAATTAACTTTAGACTATAAAACACCCTCGGCGCACTGTAGCGCTTGCCTGTGAAAATAAATTCATATCTGTTTTTTTCCCACATTGTAAATGGGGCGTCTTCCACATACCTCTCACCCTTCTCTCTCCCAACTCTCTCTTGGAGCCTCCTGTGTGTGTGTGTGTGTGAATTGCAAATTAGGGTTTTAATAAACTCTCTGCAAAGACTCTCTCTTTCTCTCTCTGTTCCTCTCCCTCCCTCAATATATGTACACATATGTTGAAAAATTAGGGTTATCAATCGAGGCCGTGATTGCAAGCTCTCAATCTTTCTATTTGTTTGAACTTTCAATGCCTGGGAATCTATTCACCACATTGTTCGTTGAAAACCCTAGCCAGTTCCGAACCACTTGCTTTCTCTACAGAGGGGCAGGTGATTTCGATACCGTTGGATCGAAAGAATCTTTGAATTCTTTCTCTATCTTTCATTTCCCAAGAGCGCAGGAAAATTATCTGATTGAGAGCTCTTGAATTTCTTGTTTTTTGTTTTTTCTTAATGGCACCGAGTCGCAGAAAAGGTGCCAGCAAAGCAGCCGCCGCCGCCGCTGCTTGCCGGCAGTGGAAGATAGGCGATCTCGTCCTCGCCAAGATCAAGGGATTTCCGGCGTGGCCCGCAATGGTAAGCAAATGGTTTCTTATATCAAAAGATTTGACGAGCAGCTTAATAACGTGCCTTATTGCCGGTTTTGAGTCGCATGGTATTTCTTTTTTTTTTTTGGAATGCGAAGACGTACGATATAATTTTAGGGTTTTTGAATTTGCTGTTGCTGATGAATCTGAGACAAAGATAGAATTATTTTTTACTTGCATGTGGTTGTTAGTGTTAGTTTCTTGGAATTTGTTGCGTTAGAAGAGTAAATTTGGGGCTTGTGGGCTCACATTCTTGTGTACGCATATCCATCTTTTGGTTCACGTAATAATGAGTTACAGATTTGCAAAAATAACAAGTAGCAAGTAATTGTGGTTCCTTCTTTTTGTTCTGAGGAAGAAGTATGGAGCTAGAAAAATAATGCGTAGTGTTATTTTGGTTGCTGATGGCAGGTGAGTGAGCCGGAGAAGTGGGGTTACTCAGCTGATTGGAAGAAAGTATTTGTCTACTTCTTTGGCACCCAACAAATGTGAGTATTCTGAAATCCTTGGGCCACATCCATTAGCTTTTTTGTTTGTCAGATATTCCTCATGTGTTATGCTACACAGTGGTTTCCTGTTCATGAAGTGATACATCGGTGAATTTCTCTTCTTTTCATCGTGAAACCACTTGACTTCAGCGTTTAGTCTTGGCATGTAAATTTTTAATCTTAGTATGTTTGTAATGGGGGTCGAGATTCGTTTTTCAACCCCCTTCTCATTCGATTGGATTGTTCTTGTCTTTTAGTCTTCCAAATATGTTATTTATTGCATTGTTTATGGTATTTTCATGTCACAATAATCTCAACTAAGGTTTTACAAATTTGATGTAACAGAAACTAAGGAGTGAGGACTCCTCCCATCCCTTACGATCCATTTCTATGGCACTAATTTCAGATGCGATATGTTGGTATAAAAAGGGCTCATATGTTGATGAAACTTCTTTTACTCTTGAAACCCTCTCCAAGGAATTCTATTGTTTCAGTTATTGGGTTGACAAGTTGATCCATGATGGAAGCAAATTGTCATTACATACTTGAAATGACATATACACCATTGAAAGTCTGAACTTTGTTCAACTGACTGTATTACATGACTTATTTGTTTAAGTTGACTGGTGACAGATGCTACAATAGTCATTATGTATTAACTGCATTTATGCTTGAATCTGTATGCTATTGAGACTTTTTTACTCCGAACCTGTCTGAGGAATTTTATCTGACGTATGTATGTACTGTATTACCTAGTTTAGTCCTCATTATTGGGTCTAGAAAGATTGGTCAGTTTAGTGCAAAGTGTTCCAAGGCACGCACCTTGGCTCGAGGTATACCTGAAGCATCTCAATGGGTATGAGGCAAGGCATCTTCACCGAGATGCAGTCGAAGTGCAAGATGCACATGCCTCAGGCTGAAGCCCAAGGTCCATGAAGTGTGGGTTTTTTTAGCTTTTCTTTCGTTTAAGTGATATATTTTGTGCTATTACTCTATTGACTTTAATTGGAATGTTTGAAATGCAAAAGATTAGATTAGAGCTCTAAGTATGGATATCGAATTATAATCTTAAACTCAAGTTGTGAATTTCACAGATTTGCTCTAATCTAACTGTAGGTATAAATATCTTTTTTGGGCTTTGATTTTTTGTTTTTTCGCTTTCATCTTCATCATCCTCTCTCGGTTTCTTGCATCTGTCTTTGCATCTCATTTTGATAATTTGATCTCAATTTCTATCCCCTTCTTCTTTCTTTTGTTTTTGTGAAACTGGCTCTTGATTCACTGAAATCAATCTCTATTTTCCTAAGAATAAACCTCTTTCTTGATTCAATTGGATCTTGAATTAGCCTTGGGAGCCAAATTTGTTGGGCGATGTAATTTATAGCGTTTACATAATCTCTAGAATATGCACCTCACTTCCATGAAGTTTGTGCTCACCTTGCGTCTTGCGCCGATTTCCATAAAGAACTTGGCAGCTCGGTGTGCCTTTCGCCTTAAACAACCCAGGAGTAGGTTGGGTACAAGCCTAACCTTTGGTATTATTTGCCCCATGCAGCTGTCTAGGGTTCAAGGTCATAATCTGAAGGTAATTGGGTTGAATTTTGTCAAATGAACCAGTGACCCTGTTCTCTTCTGCTTATCTGATAGCAAAAATAGAAAATAAGAAAGGAAAAGCAAATAAAGAAGAATGTACTCCATCGGGGGTTGCCTACATAGCTGCTCCAGACTCGCAGCTCTTTTGAATTGATTTATCTTTTTCCGCAGAGTCAAGACCAACACAATATTATCTAAACTCTGNATTTAATATATAAATATTACACAATTAATACCTAATTTTTAGTATTACACAAAGTATCTTCAGGCACGAAAGTATTGCTAATAAGACTGTAATAATAGTGGTTTTTATATTATTAAAGATGGTATCAATAATAAATATTACAAGTGGAAGCAATTTTAAACTCATTTAAAGAAATTGATTCTCAAATTGGTACACTTAAATTTTTTATTAACTTATCCCATTACATAAAATTCTAAATGGAAATGTGATAATTACTATCGAACAAATCAAAGTCCCATTATCATGGATAGATTCGGTGTAAGATCCATCATCTTTAGCACACATTCATTTCATTTCGTTCCGTTCAAAAATTATCATCAATTGTTATTTCATAAGTAATTTTTTTTTTTAATAGTTACGAGTGTCTGAATCAATTTACACACACTTTAATTAATCTCTTTATAAGTTCAGTCAAAAACAAGTAATCCACGTTGGGACTAAAATATATACGAGGGATAAATTTTTCATAGCCTACCCACTAGGAGTTGTCGAACTGACGACCTCTAAGTTTAAAGCTTGTTTATGATACCATTTGAACTATCTTCGAGATTAAATATTAAATTTTATCTCAAAACATGTTGAAGCATTGGCCACCTACATGAAATTACACCAAGGTGCCAATATGAATGGGATTCTTAAATTATGTACTTAAAAAAATAACTTATTTAGTTCAGACAAGACAATCATTGAAGACAAAGAATGGGATTTTATTATGGATCAGGCAATCTGTACTTAAGTGGTTGGTAATGTGGAATTTGTAATGACCTTTAAAATCCTTCCATTTGTCACATACTCCCTCTAACAGGAAATACCTGCAATTTAAGCACCGAAGATTAAAAAAAAGAAGAAGGAGAAGGAGGTTCATAATTTGTATTTTACATAATTTTTTTATTATTAAGGTGAAAATTGGTAAATGATTAATCCAACATGGCAACCACTTGTCCACACAAACTGTGCAGCTGATATTAAAAACACCAAAAAGAAATTAGATTTTAGAGTGTGTTAATGCTGTTTAGATTATGTTTCAAAAACAGTTTTATTTTTCTTAAAAATAATTTGTGGTTAGGGATGTCGTTTGGTTAGAATTTTCAAAAATAATTTTTCAAAAAAAGTGAGAATTGAGAACAACAAAGGCCCCAAGTTTTTTTCTTTCGTCCGCCTCTCTCTCTCTCTCTCTCAGCATATATATATATGTGTGTGTGGGGGGGGGGGTGTGTGGGAGAGAGAGAGAGATGGGAACTAAGATTAAAATTAAGGGTTTTATGAATTATTGTCCAAACATGTTTTATAATTTTTTGTTATTTAAAACTATTTTTAAAAATATATCACTAAACAAGTTTTACAATTTAAAAATTTTTAAAAATACTTTCTTAAAACTTTTCTTAAAAAATATTTTCGAATATTATTTTTTGATATGCAATTCAAACACGTTCATAGTTTGTGACTTTATTATAAGGAATGCATTATTTTAGTTGGAAAAAAAAAACTCCAAATTTGTAATGGTTTCGATATTTCTATTTGGGATCATTTCTTAAATTAGTAGTGACAAATGGGAAAGTTAAGCGGGCTACACGTAAGTCAAATAGGGTTGGACGTAGTTTAATGTAGTATAATGTCGATGCACTTTTCAATTAGGCCTTTATGATGTAAATTTATATTCATAAGACGAGAATTTTTGGTTGGATTGATTTTTTTTTTTATTTAGCATCTTTTATACGTACGAAACGCTATAGAACAATTGCATACATCCTAATAATGAATAGAAATTACCTTGTCACTTATGTAACATAAATCTAATATTTGTAACGAAAATTATAACCAAAAAATTGCAGCGACAACACATTGCTCAACATTAATTAGTTAATATGCCTCTTACAATATAAGCGCCGCAATAGGTTAGTGGTTGGTTTAATGACCACTGACCTGCTGTTGAATTTTAAGATTGTGAGTTCGAATCTCATTGTTTATGTATTAGTGTTTGGCTAAAAGAATCTATCTATCTATCTATATATATATATATAACAAACAAATAAGAGGGTAGAAAGTATGGAAAATTTTGAGTCCACATGTCTTAATTTCCTAGAGTTTTAACTTTTTTTAATTACTAAACCGATGTTTTTGTCAATCACTCTATTCAACACTTAACACCTACAATCAATCTTTCACTCTCTCACCAACTAATCATCTTTTGTTTGAATTTTCTTTAAAAAATTAGTTTTTATCCTGTATAAATTTCCATGAATTTTGAAATTTTCTATTAATTAATAAAGGTAAATATAAAAATACAGGGTGAAGGATTAGGAAGGAGAAATGAAAAAAAAGAAGAGTGTGTTGAATGGGTCGTGTTGGGTTGGTGATGTCTGCGTAAGTGTCCTTAGATGGGCCCTAATACAGATATATGCAAACCTTAGTACAAAAATCTGGGATGGGCTATTCATGGCAAAGCCCGTATATGAATCAAATAAGCTGAATTATATTGCTACGGGGGCCCATAGTCATACATTGGGTTTAAAAAGGGCCGTTACGAATTTGACGCCGTTAATTTTTAATAACGGGAATTTAGGATGGATAATGTTACACCGACTAAAAAAAAANGTGTGTTAATGCTGTTTAGATTATGTTTCAAAAACAGTTTTATTTTTCTTAAAAATAATTTGTGGTTAGGGATGTCGTTTGGTTAGAATTTTCAAAAATAATTTTTCAAAAAAAGTGAGAATTGAGAACAACAAAGGCCCCAAGTTTTTTTCTTTCGTCCGCCTCTCTCTCTCTCTCTCTCAGCATATATATATATGTGTGTGTGGGGGGGGGGGTGTGTGGGAGAGAGAGAGAGATGGGAACTAAGATTAAAATTAAGGGTTTTATGAATTATTGTCCAAACATGTTTTATAATTTTTTGTTATTTAAAACTATTTTTAAAAATATATCACTAAACAAGTTTTACAATTTAAAAATTTTTAAAAATACTTTCTTAAAACTTTTCTTAAAAAATATTTTCGAATATTATTTTTTGATATGCAATTCAAACACGTTCATAGTTTGTGACTTTATTATAAGGAATGCATTATTTTAGTTGGAAAAAAAAAACTCCAAATTTGTAATGGTTTCGATATTTCTATTTGGGATCATTTCTTAAATTAGTAGTGACAAATGGGAAAGTTAAGCGGGCTACACGTAAGTCAAATAGGGTTGGACGTAGTTTAATGTAGTATAATGTCGATGCACTTTTCAATTAGGCCTTTATGATGTAAATTTATATTCATAAGACGAGAATTTTTGGTTGGATTGATTTTTTTTTTATTTAGCATCTTTTATACGTACGAAACGCTATAGAACAATTGCATACATCCTAATAATGAATAGAAGTTACCTTGTCACTTATGTAACATAAATCTAATATTTGTAACGAAAATTATAACCAAAAAATTGCAGCGACAACACATTGCTCAACATTAATTAGTTGAATTTTAAAATTGTGAGTTCGAATCTCATTGTCTATGTATTAGTGTTTGGCTAAAAGAATCT